ATTTTCTCCATCATATTTTGTTATATTGTTTTGATCAAATGTTGTTGTTAGTGTTGGCATGAGCTTAGTTTCCAATTAACAAGTGCTATTGAAACTGTGATTTTTGTTTATGCCCTCCATACATATGTATATAGATATTGCAAATGAATATATATAAATATAAAATACGTAAACTTAATTGCAAAATATATCGAGAGCTTAATTCAATTATTCTTTTCAATTTCCAAAAGTATTATAAATGGATTTACATACATTTGGACGATGCATTTCATTTTTTAATAATTCTCCATTTTTATTTTTGAGATTTTGTTAAGTTCTTAAAAACCTTTTAATTTTATTTTATACTATTTTAATTTAATTTTATATTTATATCGTTCTATGTTTTTAATTTCATTTATTTTCATTTTTATAATTCTTATATATTTTTATTTAAATTATTTTTTTCTTTTAATTTTGCTACATTCCAAATAATTAATTTAATTTCATTTCTTTAAACTTGATTTATATATTTTTTTTAATTTATATAATTTTTTATTTAATTTATATTTATTTTATTTTATTCTATCCTTTTTAATTTGACTTTTCTTCATTCAGATTTATTTTAATTTGATTTTTCAATCTATTTTACTTTGTTTTTAAATTTTTTATCATATCAAATTCATTTCGTTTCAATTTATTCTATTTTGTTCCGTTTTATTTTATTGTTCTTAATTATATCATTTTAATTTTTTTTTATGTTTTTAATTTCATTTATTTTAATTTTTTTATACATTTTTTTTTATTTAATTATTTATTAATTTAAATTTATTTTATTTTATTCTATCATTTTTAATTTGACTTTTCTTCATTCAGATTTATATTAATTTAATTTTTCAATCAATTTTACTTTATTATTAAATTTTTCAAATTCATTTCGTATCAATTTATTCATTTATTTTGTTGTTCTTATATTTGCTTTTGTTTTATTTTTTATATTTTATGTTTTTAATTGCAATTAATTTAATTTAGATTTATTCTGATTTATGTTTTTAATTTCATTTATTTTTATTTTTATATAATTTTATTGTATTTATTTAATTTATATTTATTTTATTTGATTCTATCCTTTTTAATTTGATTTTCCTTCATACAGATTTATATTAATTTGCTTTTTCAATCTATTTTACTTTATTATTAAATTTGTTTATCTTATGAAGTTCATTTCGATTCATTTTATTCTAATTTGTTTAGTTTTATTTTATTGTTCTTAATTATATTATATTATTTTTTTATTTTTTATGTTTTTTATTTCATTTATTTTAATTTTTTTATACATTTTTTTTTTATTTAATTATTTATTTAATTTATATTTATTTTATTTTATTCTATCCTTTTTAATTTCACTTTCCTTCATTCAGATTTATTTTAATTTAATTTTTGTATCTAATCAAATTCATTTCGTTTCATTTCATTGTATTATGTTTCGTTTTATTTAATTGTTCTTATATTTATTTTTGTTTTAATTTTGATATTTTATGTTTTCAATTGCATTTAATTTAATTTAGATTTATTCCGATTTATGTTTTTAATTTCATTTATTTTTATTTTTTATATAATTTTTATTTATTTAATTTTTTTAATAATATATATTTTCTTAAGTAATAAAATATTTTATTTTTCTAAATTCAATTTATTTTATTTAATTTTTAATGAATTCTTATTTGGCCTTCTCTTCATTTAGCTTTATTTTATTTTATTTTATTTTATTTTATTTTATTTAATTTTTCATTTTATTTTATTTTATGTTTTTAATATAACTAATTTTTTATAATTGTTATTTAATTTAATCTATTTTTTATTTTGTTTTTTCATTTTAATTTCATTTAATTTAGTTTAGATTTATTTTCTCTTAAATTTTTAATTTAGGTTAATTTCATTTTATTTCATTTTTTTCAATTTAATCTTATTTTATTTTTATTTTCCCATCTTTTTATTCTCCTTTAACTTATTTTATTTTCATAAATTCATTTTATATTTTGTTTTAAATTGTTTTTAATTTAATGCAATTTAACTTCATTTAATTTAATTTAGTTCAATTTTATTTCATGTTTTTCTAATTTAATTAAATTTTTTATTTAGTTTAAATGAAATGAAAACAATTAAATCTATTTGTTTTTAATCTTTATTTACATTTAATTAAATTAAGTTTATCTCAAATTTTTAAATTAGGTTTTATTTAAGTTGATTTCATTTTGTTTTATATTTAATTTTATTTTATTTTTATTCAACCTTCTTTTCATTTTCCTTTCATTTATTTTATTTTATAGTTTATATAATTGCAGCTTTAAGACCGTTAAATGAAAAACGAAAATATTTTCTTTTTCTGCCTCCTACGCGTAGAAGATACAAATGGGATCGGGGGTCTAATTTATTTTATTTTTGATTCAATTAATTTTAACTTCTTTTAAATTGTATTTAATTTAATTTAACTGCATTTAATCCAATTTAGTTCAATTTTTTTTTATTTTAATTAAATGAAAGCCAAATCTTTTAATTTTATTTTATTTTTTTTTTAACTTCTTTTCATTTTGCTTTAACTTCTGTCATTTCATTTTTCGATTAATTCTATTTTTAATTTAATTTAATTAATTTAGTTTATTTTTTTTTTAATATCGTTTTTATTTAATTTTTTGTTTTTAATATAATTTTTTTTATAATTTTATTTAATTTATTTCTTTTTTTACATTTAATTAAATTTAGTTTGTCTGAAATTTTGAATTTAGGTTTTATTTAAGTTAATTTCATTTTATTTTATTTTATTTTATTTTATTTTATTTTAGTTTATTTTATTTTATTTTTTTTATTTTTTTTTATTTTATGTTTTTAATTTATTTTATTTTATTTTATGTTTTTAATTTATTTTAATTTTATTTTTATTTTTAATTAATTTATTTTTTAAATTTAATTTCTTTTTAGTTGTTTTCATCTTTATTTAATTGATTTTATTACATTTTTTGATTTACTTTATTTTTAATTTCATGTAATTTAAATTTTATTAATTTTTATTTTATTCTATTTAATTTTTTATTTTATTTTATTTTCTGTTTTTTTTTTATCTTTAATTAATTTATATTAATTTTACTATACTTTTGTTTATTTTACTTTATTTTATTGTATTTTATTTTTTATTTGAATTAATTTCGTATCATTTTGATTTATTTTATTTTATTTTTAAATATTTGCCTAAGACGTACTACAGTCAAACCAACACCTAAAGTTATGGAACAGTTATTTTCCAAATTGTGGTCACCCCTCGGCACAGAATATATACATCTCCCGCCATAATCTGAAGGAGGTCTTCGGCCGAAAAACGCTTCAGTATCTTTCGAAATCAAACTCGTGCAAGAATTGAAGCCGAACAACAATGAAGCACACCTTTGGTTGATAAATAAAATTGTCGCATTTGTGGCGAAGGGAATCATTTGTCCATAATAATTCTTCAAAATCGAAGTCGGCCATAATTTTGCAGTCAATGGGGAACGCTATAGGGCCCTGGATTAATGAATTTTTCGTGCTTGAATCGGAGTATGCTGATGAGGAGAACTTTTGGTTTCAACAAGAGGCGGCGCCTCTTAGTGAGCTCAATACCTCGCGTCTAATTTACTTTCATTTATCATTTATGTACTCGCTCGCTGTTACTTAGAAAAAAAATAAAAATAAATAAAAATTACAAGCATCATACGATATCCACTGGAACCAAGAAACCCAACCCTTCCAAAAGTAAAAATCAAATTGAAAACACAATCGCAGTTATTTTTTGCGCTTTATTTCTTTAACTTCCTTTTATTTATTTTATTTTATTTTTTATTCTTTTGTTTAATGTAAATTATGGATAAAATGTAATTTGGAAATATTTTGAAACTTTTTTTTTGTAATGATTATTAAATTTTTTTCTTTACCTTTTTTTCTCTCCAGTTTCTTTCATTGCTTACGCATCTTTCTTTCTGTTGCATCTTTGCTTTTTTCGCCATACATCTATATATATATATATTTTTTTCAGCATTTTAAGTAACACTTTTCAATATACTTGCATCATTTTCTTTTGTATCAATAAAATTTTCGTTTAACAGACGAGCTTAAGTTTTAAAGTTGAGACGAGTGGCAGCGAGGTGGAGGTTTGGAGTGAGTTTGGAGCGAGGTGTGGTGTGTATGGTGTGAAGTGTGTGTGCGGTTATAAAGTGAGGTGGATGAAATGTTGGTAAGGAAATTTATTTAAATACCTTTTCTCTTCAAAAATGTATATTTTTATTTATTTATTTATTTTATTTTTTTGTTTTTGGTAAAAAAGGGATATTTTTAGCAGTATTTTGTTGTCTAGTTTGTAGTTTTATGTGCGATATGGTATGTGTGTTTATTCAAATATGTATATATGTATATATGGTAGATGAGCATATCAGCCAAAGTCAAGTTGTATTTGTATTGTCGAATGGGTGTTGTTGTTGTTGTTGTTGTTGTAGCGGTGTGTATGTGTATGTGTGTGTGTGTGTGCTTAGGGTCGAGAGCTTTAAAGCCTAAATTATTAAAATTCAATTATTTCTTGTTGTTATTGTTGCTATATATGGGTGTATATATACATGTATATATATAAATATTTATATATATATATATATATATATATATGTCAAACGTTGTCGAAACATACAAAAAAGCACTGGCTTCATTCATTCGCTCCCTCTCTCTCACTCGCTCGCTCTCTCTCTTTGACGTTCGCACGCGTTGTAAGATCGCTGCAAAAAAAGAGTTAAATAACAATTATTGCGAATTGTTATCTCACATATGTATGTACAGTTGTTGCTTAAGTGTACAAGTAGTGGTTGTGTATTGTTGCAGTTAGAGGCCAATTGACATTGGGAGGCTAGAGAGCTCATCCTTAGGAGTCCCCCACAGCCGTTAGATATATAGCAGCAGCTCAATTTGGCGTAGCTCACTCGTTCTGGTGATGATTTCTTTTTAATAGTTTCATTTTTTTTTTTTTTTTTTTTTTTTTTTTTGAATTTCCTTCTACTCTATTTCCTTTTTCCACTGCGTCGTCCTCTTCGCCAATAAGTCATTAATTGCAATAAAAAGTGACTGTAAATAGCGATTAAATTTGTAGATTATTAAAAGATTATTAAACAACTTTTCACTATAAAATTTACTCACAAATCTGTTGTGGAGTCAACTTCGCACGTCATTTGTGTATGTATGTATATGTGTCTACAAGCAAATGGTTTGGTGTCATTATACATATTAAACACTTCGATTCGCTTCGCTTTAAGAGTCCTTACTAGCTAAGATATATGTAAGTATGTATGTATATTTTTATTTTTATTTATTATACATATATATGTGAGTCCTCACAAATATAAGTTTTATGCTGTTTATGCTGTGAAAGAAACATAAGAAAAAGAACAAAACAGAATATGAATTTTAGTTAAATTTATTTAATAGTTTTTGGTTTTTGCTAAAAAAAAAATTGCACAAAAGTATTTATATTTCAGTTACAAAAAATACTAAAAGCTTAAAAAGCTTTCTTTATTTATTTCTTGTATTCATTTACAACCTCAAGCTTACCCAATAGTAGACTAAGTATTTTTCAGCGATAAAATTTCCAATAGAATAGACTAGATTTTTTTTTTTTTGACGTCGGGAGAAGATTTGAGCGCTTTTCGACACGCTTATTAAATCTGCATACAAGTAGCTTACCTTAACGTTGTCAACACCCTAATTTTTCCTTAATCCTTACCTTACCCAAAAAACCAACCTGCCTTCCCAAAGGACATTTATAAAGGGATGCAAAGTTCAGTTAGATCTAAAAATTAAGGTTTCAATACTACTGACGACTATGGAACTTTTTCTTTGGCTCTAGTGGCTTAAGTTAAAAAAAAAAATTATTAAAAAACAAATAAAACGACAAAAAAACTAAAACAAATAAAATTAAAACAATAAAAAAATTAAAACAATAAAAAATATTAAAACAATAAAAAATTAAAACAATAAAAAAATTAAAACAGTAAATAAAATTAAAACAATGAAAAAATTAAAACAATAAATAAAATTAAAACAATAAAAAAAATTAAAACAATAAATAAAATTAAATCAATAAAAAAATTAAAACAATAAAAAAATTAAAACAATAAATACAATTAAAACAATAAATAAAATTAAAACAATAAATAAAATTAAAAAAATAAAAAAATTAAAACAGTAAATAAAATTAAAACAATAAAAAAATGAAAACAATAAAAACATAAAAAAAGTATTAAAAAATATAAAAGAACAACATAAAAATATATTAAAATATATAAAAAATTTGAAAACAAATTTTAAAAATTAAAATTAAAAAAAAAAATATAAATTAAAAAAAGAATTTAAAACTTAAAATTAAAAAAAAAATATTTAAAAAAATAAAAAAAATAAAAAATATGAATATAAACATAAATTAAGAATGTAAAAAATAAAAACATAGAAAAATTAAGAACATAAAAAATTTTTTTTTAAAAAATTAGAAATAGAAAATTTGAAATAAAAAATTATTAAAAAAAAAAACTTTTTAGAATTTTGAAACCTACTGAAGACTAGAGTTTCTTTGAAGAATCAAAAAGTTAAAATATACAAATTAAAAAAATTAAGAAACTAATATCAAAATTAAAAAATATAAAAAAATAACAAAATTAAACAAAAAAATTAAAATATATAGCAAAAACTAAATAGAAAAAAAAAACAAATACAAAAAAAATTAATAAATAAACAAAATGCGAGAACAATTAAAAGAATAAAAAATTTAAAAAAAAAAAAAAAAATTATTTAAAAAATTTAAGAATCGAATGTCTTTTCAAACAAAATTAAATTAATTAAAAGAAGAATTAAATAAAAAATATTAAAATACTTTTTTGAGTTTTGAAACTTTTTTAATGAAATAGATTCTATCAAGCGTTTTTTATAAAATTTAACAAATAAAAATACAAAAAAAAAAAATTAAAAAAAAATAATTTAAAAAAATATTCGAAATCGAAAAATGATAAACAAAAATTTAAAAGTAAATAAATGTTTGAACACAAATTTAATGAACAGAAATTAAAAAACATCGTTTTTGGAGCTTTTCGCATAGAATTCAAAAAATTAAATAAACCAAATATAAACAAAGGTTATTAGATATGAAAACGAAAAAAAATTAAATATATATTAAAAAAAATTATCTACAAATATGTATTTAAAGATCAGAAATGTGGAGTTAAAAATTAAACAATCAAAATTAATTAAAAAGAAAACTAAATAAAAATATATTAAAATTTTTATTTAGAATTTTTAATCTCTCAAATTTAGAGATGCTTTGAAGCTATTTTTATAGAATATAAAAAAGTTAAAATATCAAAAAATGAATAAAAACAAATTTTAAAAAGTAAAAATAATAATTTAAAAAAACTAACTGAAATAGAAAATATTGAAGTCTTTTTTGAATTTTCAAAACTATTTACGATCAGGGTTTTCATATAGAATTAAAAAAAATAAACCAAATAAAAACAAAAGGATTTAAATATAAAAAAGTAAGAAAAAATGTTAAGAAAAATCCAAAAGTAAATAAAATAATTTAAATACATAGATAAATAAAAAATAATAAAGTGTCTATTTCGAAAAAAAAAATAAAGTAAAACAAAACATACATGTTTCATTTTTTTGTTTCAATGTAAAAATTAATTAAAATAAATTAAACAAAAATTAATAAAAAAAAATTAAATAGAAATTAAATAAAAATCGAAATGTAAGTAAAAAAAATAATTTTTCAATTAAAAACTTACATTTTGCAAATGCTTAGACTGCCAAAAAATGGCTAATAGCGCCAAATAAAAAAGAAAATATTTTTCAAGTAAAAGTTTTATAATTTCAAGAATATGAAATTTTATTTATGTATTATTATATAATTATTATATATTTTTTGGACTATTTTGTCGAATATTTAATTTTAAAAATATGAAATTGTCCTTTTTATCTAAATTTTGGCAGCCATTTTTTTAATATAAAAATGTGTTTCAAAAATAAAAAATTTTAAACTAAAAAAATTCGAAATTTTAATTATAATTTTGTATATTTCCTTTTGAAATTTTTTTCTAATATTTGACAGTCATTTTTTTTCTAAATATAAAAATTTAATTGAAAAAATATGAAATTTTGAATTAAAAATATGAAATTTAGTTTTATAATTTTATATAATTTTTTTTCTAATATTTGACTGCCATATTTAAAAAAAATATAAACATTCAATTACTATACGATTTTAACTTAAGGAATATAATTTTTTTTTTTTTCAGAAAGATAGGAAAATTCTATTGAAAGAAATTTATATTTGAATTAAAAAAAAATATGTAATTTTAAATATTTATTTTCTTTGAAAATTTTTATCTAATATTTAAAAAAAAAACATAAAAATTAATTTTTAAAAATTTTAATTTTATTAAAACAAAATAAAAAAAAATTTTACTCATATATTTAGTTTTGGGAATATTTCTAACTGGTATCTATTTTTGGTCATTTTAGAACTACAGATTTCGCAGAATATTCAAAAAATTTTCAATAATTTCTTGCAAAAATACCACTAACAGAAATCGCCTAAAATTATAGAGAAAAGGAACTGTTCAATATTTTTTTCTAACACACAACAACACCTTATATAACAACAAGTGTCAGCTATCAACATGGAAGCAACAACATCCCGAATTGAATAAAATTCCCAAATTTTCTTTTGCATCTTACGGATCGAAAGTGAAGATCGGATACATTAAAAACTAACAGAAGTTTTGAACTTTCCAACTAATTTTCAGAAGCATTTAAGATAAAAAGGCACAATGCATACCCTTATTTATACATATCTGTGCTGGCAAGATGGAAAGATTGAATGTCAATGATCATGAAATCTTTAAATTTAAGAGAATTGAAATTTTATGAAAGATTAATTAATTAATTCGATTCTTTAAGTATAATTTGTGATCTCTAATTTTTTGTATCGCATTCGCCAATTAATTTTTTTGTTTAAAATTGAATTTTTTTTTTATAATTTAGCAATTTTCATTGTAAATGATTTTTTATTGCTTAAATGATAATATTTTTACTTTTATGTGAAATGAAATTTATTATATGTAGTTTCTTGTTCTTCTTCCGACTTACCATAATTATTGAGATTAGCTTTTATTTTGCCTTGCCAACACAGATGCAAACAGGTGAAATAAAATCAATGGAAATTAATAATAAAATAAGATTTTGGTTTTTTTTTTTTGGTTTTTTTTTTCTTTTTTTTTAGCTTCGCTGTTATTTTTTATTCGTTTTTATTTTTATTTTGTAAATAAAAAAAAGCATTGTATAATTTTTTTTTGTTGAAAAAATAGCTTTTTTCTTATATTTTTTTCTTTTTCATATTTTTTTATTCTTTTTTTCTCTCTTTTCTTTTTTAATATTTTTTTTTTATTTTTTTTTAGTTTTTTTTTTACTTTATTTGTCTTTAGTTCACTGAAAAGTATTTTTTCTGTAAAAATTGTACGTGTAAAATGGTATCAAAAGTAATAATAATATAAATAAAAGTAAGTCAATAGAATACATATGTATATAAGTACAGTTAAAAAAGATATACATGAGCATAGAGGTATATAGTATATCATTTTCCACTCTAAATATTTTGAATCTCGCTTTCGGCATTTTGCTAAAATTCAATATTTAATAATATTGCAGTGTTAAAAACTTACAATTAATAGTTGTTGTAGCTGTTGCTGTTGCTGTATTATCGGGCGTTATCATCAACAGATCGTCGTCGTGGTCAGTGTCGTCGTCAATGGTTGTTGTTGTTGTTGTTGCATTGCATGAATTTTTGTTGTAACTGTAATTGTTGTTGTCGCTACAATTGGGAATGGTGCCTGTAACAGTTGTCTTTGTTGTATTATTAGCAGCAACGGCATTGGAGGCGCTTGAGACAGCAGTGGCAGCGGTGGCAGCACCAACGGCGGCATTGGTGGCAGCATTATAACTATTGTTATTTCTATTGTTGTTGTCGCAATTGTAATTCGTGTATTGATGCTGATTATTTGCTGTTGTCGATTTTGATGTGGAAAATGTTAACGGTTTTTCACCAACACCACCCAATACACCCAGCATACCAGCAGCAGCGGTGTTATTATGTTGCAAGCGTCGACTATTGTTCCTTTGGTAAATGGACGAAGCCGTGGGCAAGCCCTGTTTGAATGCCATTGCAGCGTTGTTGTTGGTATGATGTCCCGGTATCGATGTGGCACGCTGACTAAATATACTATTTGAATTGGCAACTGCTGCGGCATTATTATTCTTACGAAATTTCTGTGTATGAGAAGCTATGGATGAGTGTGTATGATGGGAGGGGTGTGTAGAGTGTGTGGTGTGCAGTGAATGTGAAACATAATGAGTTTGGGCTTGTTGTTGTTGTTGCTGCTGCTGTTGTAATTGTGGTTGCTGTTGCGATTGTGGTGGCGGCGGCGGCGGCGGCGGCTGCGGAGGTGTTGGATTCGTTGTTGTGGTTAGCGTCGGTCACGAACATGCCACTTCCGCGGTAGCTGCGGCAGTTGCAGTTGCCGTACTGTTGCCATTACTATTGGGATTTTGATTGTTGCTGCCATTACTGTTGCTGCGTGGTGAATTTGAACCAGAGGCCGTTCCGCCACCGTTACCGTTACCACCATTATTGCTGCTCTTTGCATCTGGTGTGAAATTTGGCGCTGTTGTGGGCTGTGAAGTAGGTGTAGTACCACCAGCATCACTGGACGCATTGGAGTTTTCCTCCGTTTGCTAGAAGAATAAAATTGTAAAACAAATACATTTTTATGTACCGCTGAGGTATTTTTCTTTTATTTTTTTTTCGTTTTTCTTTTCTTTCACTTTTTTTAATTTTTTTTATTGAATTATTCTATTTTGTTTTATATTTTTTTATTTTTCCTTATTTTATTTTTTTTTTTTATTTTTTTTTTATTTTTTTTTTATTTTTTTTTATTTTTATTTTTATTTTTTTTTATTTTATTTTTTTTTTTTATTTTATTTTTTTGTGTTATTTGTTTCTTTTTTGCATGGCATTACTTCATTTTTACTAACTTTTTTGTTTCACTCATGCACTTGCAACAATTTTCCACTTATTTCCACTAGTCTGCAGCTGAAAAAAAAAATAACGACAACAATAACTATAAAATTTTGTAACTAAAGCCCTTAATAAGTCAAAAAAAGAGCAATAAAAAAAAGGGAGTAAAAAAAGCACTCAATGCCCGAACAGCAGCGAAAGCATACAAAAATAAAAATGTGGCAACAAAATAAAAGGGGGAGAAATAGCAAGCTAAAGAAGGAAAAAGTGGCAACACTTCGAGTCATTTCGCTCTTCACTTACAAATAATTTTGATTTATTGGTTTCTATTTACCCCAACTGACTTACAGTTGCTGCCCCTGCTGCTGTTGCCAAGCGTGAATGCTTGTAATTGTAGATATGTACTCGGATGTACAGGCATGTGTGTACGTATGTATGTACCTAGTAGATACCCTGTAGGGAAAAACAAAGATACAATGGTTGTTTGCATCTCTTTACGACCTAATTTATCTTCCAACTATTTCCCGTGTCTTCCAAACTGACAATAGTAAGTGTATGCATCAGCTTCATACTAGTTAAATACTAGTTCATTTGGGCATGTTGAATTTCTACTACGACAAACCTCAAAATGGAAAGGAAAGCAAATAATGAGTTTGCCTGCAGTGTTCGGACCGTGAACCTGACGTGCCACAGTGATAGTCTCTAAGCAATCGGCTATNTTTTTATTTTTTTACTTTTTTATTTTTTTACTTTTTTATTTTTTTACTTTTTTATTTTTTTACTTTTTTATTTTTTTACTTTTTTATTTTTTTACTTTTTATTTTTTTAATTTACTTTATTATGTAAATATTTACTTGTTGATTTATTTATTTTTAAAGTTTATTTATGTTGAAATATACTTCAAATGTAAACACTTTGAAATGTATGAATACAACAAATCACATATTCATTGATTTAGAATAGTATGCCATGAATTTTAGAAAATAAGAAAAATGTACAGATATTATATCTACGCTAAGTTTGTTGTCTCTGAAAATCGGTTCCTCTAATACGGTGTCAACTGCAGCTTACTTACGTAACAGAGCCATTACAAAAGCACTCACAAACTCAACACCATTCGACAAGTGGACAGGAAAGAAGCCATGTGTGTCACATTTTAAAGTGTTTGGCTCATTAGCAATTGCGTTAGATAAAACTCATAAGCGAAAATTTCAACCGAAAGGAAAGAAGTTGATAATGGTAGGATATAGTGAAACGTCAAAAGCCTATCGTTTGTATGATCCAGTAGCTAAAACAGTAATCGTTAGTCGAGATGTAATCTTCGTGGAAGATAAATTTCCTGGTACGTTTGGGACAAACAATATAAGCGATTTAATAACATTTGAAACGGAAAATCAAGAAGAAGGACGAGCAGAAACAGAAAAAGTTGATAACGAAGATCCTGAAGCAAACGAAGAAAGTAATAAGCAGTCTGATCGCGTTGGTCGCGGTAGACCCAAATTCGTTCGTACTTGTAAGCGTGGGCGTCCTCGTAAAAAGCGGAATATGGTAAACTTACTAAAAGCAGCAGATGTAGAAATTCCAAATACTGTGATTGAAGCAATGAACAGCAAATATTCCCATTAATGGGAAGATTCGATGCAGAAGGAGTATAGCGCTTTAATAAAAAAATGATACGTGGTCATTGGTTGGTTTGCCACCAGGACAGAAAGGCTGTCTATATAAAGAAGCTGATTAATGAAACAGGTTTTAATAACATTGCACCAATGGTATAAGTATCTTCATATTAGAAATCTGTATAGAAATAAGGAAATTGAACTGAATTACATTTGTACTAATGAAATGCTTGCAGATATTCTCACGAAAAATTTACAAAAGATTAAACATAATAAGTTCACACAAGATATGGGACTATGTTAAAAAATTATTTCATATTTTGTAGTAGTATTGTATGAAGTATTTTGTAAAATAAATTGAATATGTTCTAGTTGAGAAGGAGTGTTGAAATATACTTCAAATGTAAACACTTTGAAATGTATGAATACAACAAATCACATATTCATCGATTTAGAATAGTATGCCATGAATTTTAGAAAATAAGAAAAATGTACAGATATTAGATTTACGCTAAGTTTGTTGTCTCTTTGTGATGTTGAATGAATAAAGTCGTCAAACGGATTTCTGCGCGTTTGTTTTTGGTCGGTCTGAAAATCGGTTCCTCTAATAATTTATTTTAAATTGTTTATTTTTAATTATTTATTTTAAATTGTTTATTTATTTATTTTTTATTTATGTTAAATTATTTATTGTTTTTTTATCATTTATTTATTTTTATTTATTTATTTTTATTTATTTACTTTTTGATTTATTTATTTTTAATTGTTTATTTTTAATTTAAATTGTTCGTTTATTTATTTTTATTAATTAATTTTTTGTTATTTATTTATTTTTTATTATTTATTTATTTTTTATTATTTATTTATTTTTTATTTTTTATTTATTTTTTATTTTTTATTTATTTTTTATTATTTATTTATTTTTTATTATTAATGTATTTTTTATTATTAATTTATTTTTTATTATTAATTTATTTTTTATTATTTATTTGTTGTTTTTTTTTATTGTTTGTTTGTTTATTTTTTATTGTTTGTTTATTTTTTATTGTTTGTTTATTTTTTATTGTTTGTTTATTTTTTATTGTTTATTTATTTTTAATTATGTATATTTTTTTTATTTTTTAAATTATCATTCTTTATTTGGGTTTTTTTATCTAATTTTTATTTTTTCATTATAGTATTTTTTATTTTTTCTTGTCATTTCTTACTGTTTTGTTTAATTTTTCCTTTTTTTACATATTTTCTTTCTTGAACCTTTTAATTAATTTTTCTCCCTCACTCACCGATTCACTTAGACGCGCTTTTTTCTGCGTTAGCATTTCGCCAGAGATACGTTTCCGATTAGCTAAAAGTGCATTACTAAAACTATTATGCTGATCCATGGATTTGCGCTCGCGCTTCAAAAAATCAGTATCTAAATATTGTGAAAGCGATTTACGTTTCACGTGTCGCGCTTCAATATTCATGCCATCTTTTAACATTTTTATATTGACCTGAAAAGAATTTAGTTAGTCAAACAAATTTCCAATTTTGATTAAATTTTTGCCAAATTTTTGCTACCACTACACTTACCCCATGTTGTATAACATGTTCCGTGAAATTCTGTATGCTCTCTGTGAGGTCAACATTCAAGTTTTCCGTGCGTTCAAACTCTAATCCAATGAACCACATCGAACAAAATGGTGCTGAACAAACTGGTGGATTGGCGCCGGATTTATCATCATCATTGCCACTATTGTTTGGCGTGTTGGCAGCGCCTTTTTTATAATCAAAACATGTTGGATTTACATGTGCTAAAGAGATGTGTTGATTACGTTCGAGATTACCAACCAATAAACGAATTTTCGATTCGACTAAGCCACACCACTCCAACTGATCGTCGCCAGTTTGTGAAGTTACTAAAAGTACGATAAAGTGGCGATATCTACAAACGAACAAAAAATGCATACATATTAGATATATGTCAGAATTAAAATGTGTAAAAGTAATAGTTACTTGTAAAAAAAACTGGGTGCCTCGAAAAGGCGATCCCATGTTGCACGACCAATCATTATTTCATCTGTGGTAACCATGCCACGATTAAACTCATTAAGTATAACTTTCTTAGTGGACTCCGAAACGTTAAACGTAGAATTCTGCTGTGGATAAGCCGGCGTAATAATCGGCATTAAATGGTAACGATCCGAAGCATTTACACGTGGATCCCAGACCTAAAAATATACAATATATATAGATAATAATATTACGATATACAATCAATATTTTGTTAAATTTTTCTACTTACCGGAAACCGCAAATTTACATTATCCGGATGCTTGAGCAACACTGGGTTTGGCCACTTCCAGCGTGAGAAAACTAGGAAGAATTTATGCACCAGCGTTGAAGCTGTTGCATTGGGATATAGCTGGCAGGTGCGCGCTACAAGCATAGCCCACGTCACACCGCCAAAATAGCCCAAGGAGTTAGAGTAAATGCCATGTTCTGTAAATGAAGGGGAAAACATAAATTAAAACACTTCACTTCATATACATTATATTCATATATTCAATTCATCATACTCACTTTTCGCCCACAACTTGATTGAACGCAACGCCAAACGGAAATTTTCTATGTTTGGCACCAATGCCAATATCTCATCCGTAACACGACAGCCATTTAGACTGCGCACCGAACGTGGATCCAAATTCTTCAGTAAATTATCATCACGTAAATCGAAATCGTCTGGTATCTCTTTAAGTGATAAGCGCGCAAATAATAAATCAATTTCGATACCATCGAAATTCATCTTAATGACCGGTACAAAAGCCTCCTCCACAGAGCGACACTCTGTCACCTCCGATTGTTTTTTCAACAATTCAAAAAACGATGTAAAGTAATCAGTGCGTTCTATGTTGCGAGGTGCAACACATAACGCATCAATATCGGCACCTTTATGATGCACACCTAAACGATATGAACCGAATGTATATATTTTGCCACCCAATTTTTCGGCTGCCGCTTCAGGCATATTCTTTGCCATCGAGACATCTTTAACCCATTGCTTGACCAATGTATTGAGTTTGGCTAAAATCTCCATACGATGATTCAGCTCATCTTGGGTCTCAAACACTTTAAACGGTTCTAATGCTTTGCGTAATTCTTCTGTTTTTTGCAAATCTTCTGGTCGTGGCTCTGCCAAGCTGATAGCTGAAGTCATGCCCAGTTGTTTAACAGGTTGTTGCTGCTGTTGCTGTTGTTGTTGTTGTTGTGATTGTGCTTGATGATGCGGTGAGCCATTTCTACCATTACTATTACCGGAATTATAACTACCATAGCTGGGAGAGCCATTCTGTGAACGTGTGTCTGAATTCCACATTTTGGAACAGTATAATCTAGAATAAAGAGAAAAAAGTTAATTAATTAAGAAAAATTAATAAATTCAAAAAAAAATAAATAATAATTTGTTCTGCAGTTTAAAGCAATTTTAAGATTTTAGAAATTCATCAACAAAGCTTTGATCACTTACCTTCTTCAGCAAAGATCAAGTTGTATAAGAGTGGAGCCTTGTACTTAATACGACAGTAGTTTTGGGTCCGTATATTATTTCAATTGTATGCTTGGAATTTAATGATTAGCTTGGTTTTCGCTATTTAACTCTATTGTTACTCTATTAGGGTATGTCCAACTAATATTTATGAATAAATGTATGATAAAGAAACCCTTTTAAACGCTGAAAGGAAAAGAGAATACTTTATTGGTATATAAAAATTTAAATATATGTACATATGTATGCATATATGTATGTATGTGTATGTATGTATGTATGTGTGTATATATATGTATGTATGTATGTATGTATGTATGTATGTATGTATACATATATGTGTGTGTATGTATGTTTATATGTTTGTGTATATGTATATATGTATGTATGTAAATACCTATGAATGTAAATATGTAAATCTTTAGATTTTCTGAAAAATTTCGTTGTTAAAAACACGAATTCTTTCCGTAAAAGTTAAGTTTAAGCGCGACAAGTGACACAAATACAAATTTTGACTGGTTAAAAAACCTTGTAAATTTAAGAAATGCTCGAAATGATAAGTCTTAACAGTTCGTTACATGTTTTCAAAGTGATTTCTTAAGCTAAAGAATTCTAATGTAGGTAAATCCCAAAATAAAAGATGGAATAAAAATATTGTATCACTTTTACATAAAGAGCTATAGGCACTACTAAAATCTTGACCGCAACTATCTGAATTTAATCAAAGACCTTTATATTTAACAAAGAAGCAATCACTGATATTCACTATAATTTCATAAATTATTAGGAAGTTATTGGATGCCAATGTAAGCCAGCAAAACATTGCACGACACATATATACACAAAAAAAAAACATCTAATATCAATATGAAAGGATTGCAGATAATTGCCACGAGAAAACGTAAACTAACGGTTGCTTTTATATAAAACAAGAATCGCATCTTTATATACATACACATACATACATTTTCATAAAACGAAACACACATTTAACTAACGTGAAAAGCGCTTATTCATTTGTGTTGGCAGAAGGTTGAATGAAGTAGCTAACAGAAAAAATTGTTGCAGTCAAGTTATGCGTCGACTCACATTTCTTGTGTATTGCTTGAAGCACAGCGCATATTTATTACCTGCTTATTTACCGCATGTGCGTACGTGTGCACGGAAGATGAATACCTATAAAATCCCTTTTCTGTGCTTAGCAATTTTTTTTTTCACTGCTGCCGTGTCTTCAACATTAACATCTTTTGTTATCAACTATACATTTGTTTATGAGTGTCTAAAACAATTATGCGTCTTATTTATTAAATATGCTGAGTATAGTGTTTGCTTTTTTAAATCTTTATATGCGAATTTTCATTGTAAATATATCGCTCTAATTTCGCTCAGCAACGTTGTCTTCCCTGCTGTCGTCGACGTCGTTGTCGACGGCGATTCTTCCCTTTGTCGTTTACTTCTCTTTTCGATAGCTTTTATGCGTTCTTCTCTGATTTTCTCTTTTACGATTATTTTCCATTCGTCACACGCATACGTATCTCTCCCTATGTTTTTTATGCAAATCCTTACGATAGCCTGTATTTTTCTGTACTAAATTTTCTCACGCAGTATAACTTTCATAACACACTTATGTATCTAATTATGCGCTCTTTAACGTTTATAATTATAAATATTACTGATTTTGCGGAAATCTTTTAAGGAAAAATTTTTAATCACCGCAGTACAAAACAACGCTCACTCGAAAAGAAAAGTCCAAAACACATCGAATTCTTCAACACTTCGGTTTCGTTAAGTTTGTGCAGGGTTGTATGATGATCTAAAAATGAAACCAGTGCTTATGTTAAAACATATTTCATAATATTGCAAAGATGTTCACCAAACAAACCTGGTTGTTTTCCTTAATTCTTTTGATTCGGTAAATAAAATTCACCGAACTTTCATAGAGTTACTGAGTTGTAAATAATTTAATCAATGTTTATTTATAACTTCACAAATAACAATTCGCTTTGTTGAATACCGTAACTGGCACTGCTTACACCATCGCATACACTTAGTAACTTACTAATTGCAGCGCGGCCGCTTCTTTATATATCTCATCGCACGTGCGTGAGCCAGCAAGAACAGTACAAGCGATGCTCTAACACATTCACACAATATTTGAAATTTACAATGGATACTTGAAGAAAGAAAGAGACAAACTGTAGCTGTAAAAATTACACTATTCTATCTCTTTTTTGCATAGAGCTCAAATGAAAATATTCGCCATTAATTAATATTAACTAAACCACATGAGCAAAGAACGTACATTAATTAATATATATATTAATATACGTTCTTTGCATATGCCTACCCATTTTGGTTTATTATTTTTTCTCAAACTTACACCACAAAATCAAACAGCAGTTGTTTTTGTTACCTCCTATTTCGCTGGTAACAAAATTTACAGGGTAACAGTGAACTCAGAATACGAAACAGTAACAAAATTTACTGAATGGTAAATTTTAATACCAAAGTAAATTTTTGTTACTTCGACAGAATAGGCCTGTTATCAGGAGCTTTTATTTTATGACAGAAATATATTCGAACGACAGAAAATACATTTTGGCGTGCGAGGACACTACAATTTATTTTTAATTGTATCTCTGATTAGATATTGACCCTGATCTACACCATTTACCAAAAATAAACTATTTTCCAAAAACAAAATACTAAGTAGAAGTTTATTGATAAAAACGAACGTTAACATAAATTAAATTTAACGCCGGCACATTTCGAAGAATGCCAGCGCACTTCTCTTCTTTGATAAGAGAGAATATTGCGATAGCAAAACAAAATTGAAAAATTTAGTTTTTTAGCCAAGCAAATTAAACGTTTTTACAACTTTATTGCTGTAATGCTGAATATTTTTGGAATTTTAGAAATAAATAAAAAACTCAAATCTATTTAGTGAGTATAAAAATTAAAAAACCTATAATTTAAACAGTTATTTTTAATGGTATATTTTCAGAAAACCTGAACTCTTACCTTCCCTACCTGTATTATATTCAATAAAAAGCTATGGAACATATCAAACAATATAAAACTTGCTATAAAGTTAGCACACTTCGTTTTCAACTGCGTTTCACATCTAATAAACCCCAGCTTACTTCGGATTCATGTGCCAACTGCAACATTTCCCATTGAATTCAACATCTAGTAAACAAATAATTGGTTACTTCGCCAACTAAAAGTTTGGTAAAATCATCATTGATGATCCCGTGGATGCGTGCCAGATGGGCGGCACGCAATAAACGAACCGCCAGTGAGGATAAATCGGATACTGCACAAGCGGCTTGCAGTAGAACGACTGTCTCAAATGCTGATACAACTGCGACCGATGCTACACCTGTGACAACTGTCGCATGCGAACAACATATCAAACATAGCACTTCACCAGCGCGTCACACAGCGCCACCACAACGACGCAGTCGAACTATGTTACAAACATTGCCGGCACGGAATGTATTCCTACAGCCTGGTATGCGTGCGCCACCACTTCATACACACTCACAATCGCAGCAGTTGCAATCAAGTGCAAGTCCAACGTTAACGCCACAGTCACGACGTGTGTCAAAAATGTGAGTTAGCTCAGCAAAAAAAATTAAAATAAATACGTTTTTTTTTCATTCAACTTCTAAATTTGCTGTCAAAATTTCTGTATATTAGAAATTTAAACGCCCAAAAAGTAGCAACGCCTTAAAAATGCAGAAATTGCGAAATTTATTTTCAAAGTGTGTTTGCTTGGATACTAGAATTTTACGAACATTCCAAGGAGTATAAAAAAAAATTACAAATATTTTCATTTTCTCAATCTTACAGACGCGGCTCACGTCGCTCATCAGCTATATCAAGTTCTGACTCCGCCACAGCTGGTTCTAGCGATAATATCATACGTGATGGACCAAAACAAAATATCAAAGTACGCGTTATATGTCCCAGTGCGCGCGTACTCATCTTTCAGACGGATGTCAACAAGCGTATAGCAGAGCTTAAAAACGAAGTTATGCTGGAATTGTCGGACGACCAAACAGCAATACCATTGTTTGCGCCTGATGTGCGACAACTAGGGCCACGTTATCGCATGATGCGCGCCGAATTTCAAGGTGCGGAATTGAATGAAACAATGACACTGGAACAATTGAAAATTGAAGATAACGCTATGTTGTTGTTAGTGCCGCGGCGTCAAAATCTACAACAAATGACAGCTATGACGCGTGATATACAACCGCCGCGTGAGTTGGAAATCAATGCGGCCACCAGAAATGTACTATCACAAGCCGTGGACATGCCAATGGTGGACATTAATGAGATTTTCCAGCAATCGAATGTGAGCGACTTATAATTATTTATATTAATTAACGTTAATTTTTATTTATATTTCTCGCGTATTTTATTGCAGCTGCAATTCGATGTACGCAAAGTTCTCATTTCGTTGGCACAAGCGTCTGCTGCAATAATAGGCGCCGGTCCCTATGCTACACGACTGATTGCGATGCTTAAGCAAAAGTTGATAAACAAACGAAATTATCAGAATGATACACTGCAGTGCCTTGTCGATATGGGTTTTAAAAAGGAGAAGGCTGAATATGCGCTGAAAATTAATCAGTAAATATTAGAAAAAAAAAGATTTTAATAATTAAATTTTTCAAAAAAAAAAATAATAATAATAATAATTTTCTGTTACACATTTTAGAGGCGTTTACTCCGCAGCGCTTGAATGGCTCATACAACATCAGAGTGAAGAGAGTTCAGTAGAGGAGGCCGCCATGGGTTTGCAGAAAAGCCAATCGGTGCTTTCGCCATCGGGCATACTAACCAATGATGTAAATAAAATACAAATATTTTGTGTGCTTTTACAACTTGATATAATGTAAATATTTTTCAAACACACAGAGCATTGTTGAAAACACCGAAGCGCTGCTAGAAATCGTGCGCATCTATAGTCATCGTGAAATGCCGCCCACGCCGGAAACCATAAGTTCACTAGTCGAAATGGGTTTTGAAGAGACTGAGGTTTTGAAAGCTTTAAAAAAGACTTGTAATAATAAAGCAGCCGCTTGTGAATGGCTTTGCGGCAATCGTACGGGTAGTTTGATTGAGCTGCGTGAAGGACTCTCACAAGATTCGCCAATACTTAAAGCCATACTCGAAATGCCACAAGTGCAGATGAATTTAAGTAATCCGAAAATACTAATAGGTTTGCATTTGTTTTTTTTTTTTTTGTACTTCTTGAGAGTTTTTTTTTCTAAACTTTTCATATTCCTTTTGCTGCAGCCTTTCTCTCTATACTGGAAAATGAGAATTCTATACGCGTTTGGGGTGGTGATAATGACACCACATCTGTTATCACACATATCCTGCAGAAATATCATGAAGAGAAGCATGTGCTCGGTATAAATCAATTCTACAGTAATCGTCAATAATACACAGCTATTAGGTTTGAAGTAACGGCAGATGCGTTTAAACGCATGCGCACAATACACAATATACCTTAAACTAACTATATGTGGGTAAAAAAAATGCATTATGTATTAGAAAAAAAATTTACTATAAACCACAAAAACGTTTATCTTTGGGTTAAGCTTAATTTAGCTTAGAAAGATGTCTACTAAATAATAATAATAAAAAAAATTACATAGTAAAAAAAAGTGATATTATCACCAAAGAATAGTAAGAAAGCTGTTGTTGCAATAGAACGAAGTATGTATGTATGTAGTTATCGAATATCACAACATTTTTGTATTAGCTAAACAAATATTATATACGTATGTATGTAAGCAACGCACAGCTCGCGCCAAAAAAAGCCTCTTATACATATATACACACACAAACATCCCTGCATAGAAGTAGCATATATACAACAATTTTCAAGACAGCAAGAAAACTAAAGTGCAATTTTAGCGCTTAAGAAACATTAAAATTAGTCGTGCATACATAAATACATATGTATTTGTGTATGTAATATGTAAACATAATCATAGTTGTCGTAGGAAGTATTGTAATAGTTTTACGAGCCAGCAGTCATTTTAACATTTTGCTAAACGCCAAATTTAATTAGTACCTTAAGCCAAAAAAAAACACAAAAATAAAAACAAACAAAAAAAAAAACACAAAAATAAAAAATAAAAACAATAACAATATCAAATAAATCGTGTGGCATTTTAAGCGTATACATATGTACATATATGTATTATGTATTAGAGTTATTTTTGGTATACAATTCACATCGACATACATACATGGCAGCTGTATGACGGCCTAAAGAAGCATTAAAGCATAATAATTAAAATTAGTAAACAACAAATTAGCGCTTGATGAAGTTAGCGCTGAGCACAGCCAATGTAGACATAGCAAACGTTTATATGTATTTTTCTTAACTTATAAAGATTTAAGAAAAACAAAAAGAATAATTAAATAGAATTATGTCAAGTGATTTTAAATTTAAAAATTAACAAATGGCCAATTATTTGCTGAAAATTCTATGCAAAATTTGCAACACTCTCTGGCACGTCCATAAGCAGACACGCAAAACACTTTTTTTTAACACGCATGTATGCATGTATGTAAGTATATATTATATACCACTATTGCCATTGTAAAAACACCAAAAAACAAATATTTTAAAAATTTAATCGGTTTTGCACATTAATTCATACAAAAATCTTGCAAAATCTAATGAACACCAATATTTCCATTGCGTACACGAGGAGCAACAAACAAATTAATAAATAAATAAAAATTGAAAATATCAATAAAACATATTTTTATTGAAAAATGTCGCTTTTATAATTTTATTATTATTTTTTAGCAATTTTCTACCGAAAAATATTTTGGCTTAAAATTCAGAATTACAAACCTTTGATGTTTCTTTCTGTAGATGGTAGGTAGGTATGTAGCGCTCTTATCCTCTAAGCTCTAGCTGCGCCAATTTGTTATTGTTATTACTGCATCGGCTAGATAACTTCGCTTAGAAGTAGGCAAAATTGGCCGAAGAAGCGAGTTATTTCGACGAAAGCGGAGCAGAGAATGTACTTTGATAGTGTTGTTGTTGTTGTTGTAGCGGTTCACTAACCCCGCTTACGTACACTTTGATCAATCTAAGTCGCCGAGTTCATCTAGTGGGAGGTGCACGAAAAGTGCTATTTTAACGGGATTGCATCAGAGGGCGAGGGGGGTTAGATGAGTCGGTTTAAGAGGACATGTGAAGAGGTGGTTAGTGTCGTACGGCCCCTTTCACATGCAAGGCATACAGTTGGCTATGCTGGGAGTTTAACCTGCTACAGTGTGCAGACCCAAGTTGTGCCAAGGTCACGCGGGTCTCTCGTGGTAGCTCGAGCTCGTTGTCTGCAATGGGTGGTGATTGTTATGTGCTTTGGTAGTCATACAGAGAGGCTAGTGTCGGGCGGTGATAAGTCATAAGCCAAATATACCAAATTCGGGTCTGGATAAGTAAGAGTTGATTCTTAATTGCCTATCTGTGATCGGTGTTTGTTGTTGTTCTTGTTCTAGAGGTTAACTAACCCAACTTTGGAGCAGGCTAGATCAGTTATCGAAGTCATCTAACGAAAGAGAAAGGGCGGTTAGATGAGTTGATTTAAGGAGGCATACAATACATTGGGTATGTCGACGTTAAGTCTAGTTAAGTAGGAGTTTAGTCTATTACGTTTCGATATAGTTTGGGGCAGGTCGGCCAAACATCTTGCAGGTTGAAAGCAGCCTTCCTTTGTCTTTTCCTTAGGTTCTGCCGGCTAGTGTTTTGAGAATTTAATTTCGGTTAAGTACTTTGGTGGCATTGTAGAATAGGACTTCCAGTAACTTCAGGTCGAGCCAGTACTCTTTCGTTCAGCCGGCGAAGATGACCGCCATGGGTTTCGCTGGTTGAAATTGTAAATGTCGTACAGTAAGGAATTGGGAAAAGTCGGAGAGATGGATCTTTAACTTTGAACGAAAGTTTTAAATATCATGCTAATATCTGGCAGTCATTGGACGAGGTCAGGGAAGCACACTCTGGTGGGGGAGGAAATTTTGAGAGGTAGAAGTTAAACAACAGTGGAGTGAGAGTCATCAATCTGAGGAATCCCTTGTTTACTGCCAAAGTCCGGTGTTACCAGGACAGGAGGAGGAGCTCCACAGGGCATTTCTATATATAGCACTTCTACTGGGAGGATGCTAACTGAGTTTGGTAGACGAAAGTTATGGGAGGTTTTAATATCCTCGGAATATAATGTCTCCTCATCTACACCTCTAATCCATTTTCTTGTAGAGTTTATCCTCTTCTGGAAGCAGCTATCGTAATCTAACCCTGGCGGAATATATTACACATAGTCTCAATTACCGTAAGGCATTTTCGGGTTCGATAACCCAAAAACAGTCTGAAGCGCCTTTCAACCGTCTGATAGAGAAACCTGCTGCAATTTTGCGAATGAAGATGTCTACAGACGATAAATCGTCTGGCAAGGAGTGCGCATTGGCCAGAGGTCCTTGTGAGAGTTATATCACAGTATTCTGGTATTAAAACACAAACGCATTTAAATAATGAAAATAATTAACTTTGTTTTTATTTTCTTGGTATCAGTATATTACGCGCTATATAAATATAAAAAACACGAGTTATTTACATACATACATTTGTTACAAATTGTATAAACATTTTTGATTTACTAATAAATTATTTCATTTTCTCTACATTTAATGTTTTCATTCATTATTTTCATTTATAATTTTCAAAAATATCGCCGAAACTGCACAAATTTATTGCTTACAGTTAGACATTTTAACATTTGAAACCCGATTGATATTTATTTTTGTTAATATCGGTTATAAAAATTTAACACTAATTAAGAAACCGATTTTAAAATATCGATTAACAATAATAAAAATATTTGTAATATTATTTACATTTTATACATTAACAACTTCCATTAATTTGATTTTGTCTTAAATTAATTTCAACATTTTTTATTTATTATTTTCTGTTATTGTTTATTTGAATTTGTTACTTCAAAACGAATTTTACGAACCTTAAAATAATAAATAAATAATTTGTGTTAAATATTGGACAATTGAGCGCCAACAAGCTTGCGGAAAAGCTAAGCAGTATTCGCCTGAAAATGTAATAAATTCAAATTTAAGAAAAATAAAAGAGAACAAAGAAAAAATTTAGTTAAACTTAAAATAAAAAGTAAATTAAATTAAAATGATTTAAAATAAAACTGAATTAAATGAAAACAAATAACAATAAAAATTAAAAAATATATAAAAAAGAATTCAGTTAATTCAAATATATTGTATTATAGAGAAAAAAAATAAAATAAAAATAAATTGAAATTAAATTGAAATTAAAAAAAAAATAAAGAAAAAAATTAAAATAGAATAAAAAATTTTTACTAATTAAAAATGATAAAAAAATAAAATATACTTAAAATGAAGTAAAATAAAATAAAATTAAACCAAAATTAATTAAATTACAATTCAAATAAGACACAATCAAAAAAAATAAACTATAATTAAAATAAATCGAAATTAAATAATTCAAATTAATAAATGTAAAAGTAAAAATATATATATTAAATGGAATAAAAAATTAATATTAATTAAAATATGATAAATAAAGGAAACCAAAACAAACAAAAACTGCTATAAAACCCATAAAAAAATTAAATTAAATTAAAATGAAATAAAATTAAATTAAAATAAACCAAATTTAATTAAAGTAAAATAAAACACAATAAAAAAATAAAATAAAAAATTTGGTTAACAAAAAATAAAATATATTGGATGAGTGCATAAGTTCGTGCCCGATTTCAAGTGCAAACTAAAATTGAAATTTTTTGAAGAAAGCGCTTTTTTATTCAATTATGTATTCGCCATTATGTTCGGCAATCCACTCCCAACGTTCGACCAATTTACGGATGCCTGATTCATAGAAATCGCGCGGTTTCTCGTTGAAAAAGGTATCAAGGTCATCAAGCTCAGAAGGCCGTCCACTGCGAGGTTGTTCTTCGAGGTTAAAATCTCCAGAACGAAATTTCGCGAACCATTTCTTTACTGTGCGGAGTGCTGGAGCATGGTCCAAATAAACTTCGCGAATATCTTTAGTCGCAGCGCCTACTGTTTTTCCTTTGCGAAATTCGTATAACATAATATGACGCATATGATCTTTTTCGTTGTCCATCTTCCATGCGTCTTGATTTACAGTTCGGACTGTCACCTTTCCAACGATATATAATATGTATATATTTCTTGCACGAGCGCCACTCTCAAACGATTCGAACGGCATCCAGCGGAATCGGGCACGAACTTATGCACTCATCCAATAATTAAAATTGAAATAAATCGAAACTAAAATAAGATAAATAATTTAAATCAAATAAATATAAAGTAAAAAAGCAAAATTAAAATGGAATAAAAAATTGATATTAATTAAAATAAGATAAATAAAGGAAACCAAAACAAACAAAAAATGCTATGAAACCAATAAAAAATAAAACCAACTTAAATCGAAATTAATTAAATTAAATTTAGCCAAAACTCAAATTTAAATACATATTAAATTTAATAAATATATATTAAAGTAAACTAAAAAACCAAAAAAAAAATAATAAAAAAATCTATTATAGAAAAATAAAATATAACAAAAATAAAAATTAATAGAAATTAAAACAAGATAAAAAATTGAATTAAATAAATATATAGTAAAAAAAAAAATATATATATATATATATATTTATATTAATTAAAAAGATAAATAAAATAAACTTAAACATAAAAAAAAAATACTATAAAATTCGTACCAAATTTAATTAAATTAAAATTAAATAAACTCAAATTAATATAAGATAAAATAAAATTATAATACAAATTAAAAATTTAAACAAAATAAAATAAAATTAAATAAGAGAAAATCTCTCCCGACAGCGGGCTCTTCGCAAAAGAGTTGATTTTATCCGGCTAATGGCTATCACCCTAATCCTGTAGTTACTTTAACTGGCTGCTTAATAGCGGGTCCCTGATCAAACGTACTTAGGCCTATTGGCCCGTTGTGATGCCTATGTTGGTGCTAATAACGAGATTCCTTTCTTTATTTCCAAATGCTGAAACTACTTGGTGTGTTTTATGAAATTAAAGAAGATTAATGAAGACTACCACTGCAGGCTCTGCAAGGCAAACGAAGAAGAATTTTCCGAGAAAGCGATAACGGACCGCACTGATACTGCGACGTAGTGACAGAGGGTGGTGTTCCACCGATTACTTCTCATCTATGTGGCAAAAGTCATTTGCGAAGTAGCCCATCCTTCTACCAGGATTCCCCATAAGACAGTGCCCGGTTATTATGCCGGTTGTTATGCTTATGGAAGTTCAGTTCTGTTTATCTCAATTAATGATTAGATTTGTTTTGCCACATTGCACGTCGCTTCAGTCTGTCATCTGCTGTTGGCCCTTCTGGGGAAGGCTAGACGTAGCACCTATTTTGTCGAGAAAAGCGGTATGTCCGTGTCATGTGCAGAGTTTACAGTGGCTAGGACTGTTGCCTCTCTGGCCACTTTGTCTGCTATGCAGTTCCCTGGGATGTTCTTGTGGCCAGGGACCCGATACGCATGACCTACGGAATTTGTCGAGTTTTAAAAAGCAAGAGATCTGAAGCTGCTCAGCTACAGACAAACAAGTGTACTTCACCTGAATGGCAAATCAGTCCATTTTGCGTTTTAAAAAAAAATATGGGTAGATTTTTAAAAAAAAAAGAAGGATTTTGCTGAGAATCTCTTTGCAAATTAAAATTAAAATGAGATATAAAAAAATAAAATAAAATAAAATAAAATAATTAAAATATAATGAAAATTACAATAGAATAAAATGAATAAATAAATTATAATGAAATACACAGTAATAAAAAAAATATTAAAAAATATAATAAAAAAAATATTAAAAAAATAATACTAATTTAAATATTTAAAAAAATACAAAAAAATAATAAAGCAAAAAAAAAAAATAATTAAACATACATAAAATAAATTAGAACAAAATTAGAAATTAAATTAAATTAAATTTATAGTAAAACCTTGCAAGCTCATTAATTATTCTCATCTTGTTATTTCTGTTTTTGCTTTGCGGCTTGCGTTAATTATTATTTAAGGCTGAAGAGGCGGTTAAATGAAATCCTCAATGTCCTCAGCGATAGCCAACTAGAATGAAAATTAAATATTTTATAGCAAAACAAAAAATAATAATAATAATAAAACAAAAAGATAGAGAAAAAAATGATTAAAATAAGTAATAATTTTTTAATTAAATTTACGCTTCATAAGGTGAGCATTTAAAAAGCATGAATCTCAATCTCAAGTGATTGTGATGTTATAGCTGAAAATATGCTTTTAGTAATTTTCTTATAATAGCCAAGAATGTTTATTAAGGTATTATGAATGTGGTTATTAATTTATGGCTTTTTTATTAAATAAATGTATGGCGCACAGAAAAATTAAGAATTAATTTATACAGTTCAAAAATAATTCAAAATAAATAACTTCTTAGGCGCTATAAAATAAAATAAAAAATTACATCAAAAGTGCATTGACTTAAAGGAAATATTTTACCAACTCTACTTTCTCTGAGAAATATTAAAACCCCTTTATATTTCAGTTATCACTTTCAGCATCATACGCGTTCTCAACTTCATCTATTATACTTTTGAGTAAAAAAAAATATTTGAAAAATAGTTAAGCTCTTGTTGTAATAAAAAAAAAGCATTTTCAGGCGAAAAAAATAAAATAAATTTTTAAAACAAAATTTTTTTGAAAAAAAAAAAATAAATTAATTAAAAAAAAACTAAATATTGGTTGCAAGCATTTAATTCCAATATAGATATAAAACTTATTTACTATTTAAGTCTTTTAGCGGGGACTATTTACATACATACTTAAATATTTAATTTTTATTTTTAGGTTATGTTATTAAAATTATTATACCAATATATGAGCGTTATAATTACATACATATATACATTTAAGCTAATAGAAAAAAATACTAGAAATTACATTAAAAGAAAGTATGCATATTTAAATTGTTTGTTGATTTTTAAGTCGTTATTGTTGAATTTCATTTCAAATTATTATTATTTTTTTTTGGAAACTAATAAGGTGCACTTTTTTGTTGAATTTATATAGCGAAAAGAGATGTCTTTTTTGACTCTTCATTATTTTTATAAGAACAAAACAAATTAAAACTAAAAAAAAAATTTAAATATGCTTCAGAAATTAAAAAAAAAAATATAAAAAAAATTCAATAACAAAATGAAAGAAAAATTAAATATAAAAAATGTAAGAAAAATTAAATTGAAAAAATGTAAGAAAAATTAAATATAAAAAATGTAAGAAAAATTAAATTGAAAAAATGTAAGAAAAATTAAACTAAACAAAATGTAAATTAAAAAAAAAAAATAATTAAAAAATAATAATTGAAAAATATTAAAAAAATTTTTTTTTTAAATTAATAAATGCCAAAAAATATAAGAAAAATTAAATTAAGAATGCAAAAATTTTAAAAAATTTAAGGAAATTTATATTATATAAAAAAGTAAAGTATAATACAATATATAAAATAAAATTTAATTTTTTTTTTTCACTTAGCAATTTCCTGTAAAATTATATCATATTTAAATATTAAAGTGTTTTATAATTATTTATTTAATTTTTGTATATTTATCAATAACTATTTCTTAGAAAAAAAAAAAACAATAAAAACAATAAAATAAAAAGGTGCACTTTGTTATATTTTTGTAGCGAAAATCACTGCTACTTTGCCTATTTTTTATTATTATTTTAAGAGCATAATTAAAAAAAAATCGTTTTAAAAATATATTTCACAAAACCCTTATTTAAAAAGGAAATACCGAAAAATATTTCATAGTCAAATAATGAAATTAATGAAAATTTACTTAAAAAAATATTTCATATTTAAATAATTAGTTTAATTAAAATTACCAGCAAAAAAAAATATTTCATATTTAGATAATAAAAATTTCCAGTAAAACATATAACATATTTAAATAATTAAATTATTTAAAATTTGAAAGCAAAAATCATTTCATATTTAAATAATTATATGAAAGCGAAGAAAGAAATTAGAGTAAAAAAGTAACGAGAAAAAAGCTTGAGTGTTTTTTCGATTACTTTTTTAATGTTATTATCAATTTATTTTAGCATTAAACTCAATATGAGACAGCTTTAAATAACTTACGAAATTCGCAGTAGATTTTTACATTTTTTAGCAAAAATAAATTATTATATTTTTTAGAAATTATTTTTACAACTTTTTGCAATTCTTTTTATACATATTGTTATATTTTCTTTTTTAGCATTTATATTTAAATTTCCATATTTTCATATATTTTATTTTTGAAAATTTTCTTATAAAAAAAATATGGCCTGTTACTTTGTCTCAGTGGCTTTTATGGCACAATTTAGTATTATTTATGTGTGTAATTAAGAGTGTTGTGGCTGTTAAGTGGTATTGAGTGTGGAAAATATTCATTTGGATATTTAAATTTCATATTCCAATAGAAATGGCACTATTTTTTTGTTTATTGTTATGGCTTTTTTGGGCGTCTCATAGTTGCTTTTGAGGTTAAGAGTGGGAAGAATAAATTTAAAAAAATATATTTATAATATAAAAATGATTGTTATTTGTGCTTTAAAAAGTGAATGTAACTGACACAAGTTACAACAATTGAAATTGATTCATTAACATGGCTATACATATATATAAATTAATTAGAAAATAACATTTGTGAGAACAAGAAAAAAACTTAAAATAAACTGGCTTCAAATGGCTTATAAATAAGAGCATGATTTTTTTTATGAACATTCTGTTAATATGTGTACATATTTATGTATATTTCCTTGTAAGTATGCATGTGTGTAAGTGATGTGCATGTGAAAATATAACGTTAAACACTTAAATTTATATAAGTAAATTATTTTAACTTGATTAACACGTATACATATATTCAAGAAACACTTATAAAGCAGTTAAAAATACAAATTAAATAGTTTAAATAAGTTAAAAAATCAAAATAAATGTCTTTATATTTATAAAAGTGTTTGAAGTGAAGTGCTTATGTATTAAAATAACTGATTTATATACACATATAAGCTTTTGAATTAAACTACAGTAATTTTTTTTTTTAACTAAATTAACATATCAAGATGTCAGAGAAAATGTTTTTTTTTCTTTAACTTTGTTTAGTTGTGTGTGCGTAGTATGCAGTTTTGCGCGTGTCATTCTGTTACAAAGGCTTTGTTTTTGAGCACTACGTGCGTATGCAAGTTTATATGCATGTTTGTGCACACTCAATGCGGTGCATCACTACTACTAGTACTACTACTTGGCTTTGTTGACGTGCTGGCGCCATCATTTGTTACATTACTTTGTTGGGTTTGCGTTTGATTTTGTGCTTGTTCTTGCTGATGTTCATGATCATGATCATGATGATGATGATGGTGGTGGTGGTGGTGGTGGTGGGGATGCTTTTGTGGTTGTTGCTCTTGTTGTGATTGTTGTTGTTGTTGTTGTGCATTAGGTTGCTCCATTTGTGCCATATTTAAACGGGCATATTTTAGTACATTTTTCGTTTTAACAATTTGACTTTTTATCTCTTTTTGTATATTCTCTTTACGTTGATTAGCGAGGTGCAACTTTTTATATGTCTCTTCGAATGCACGCTTCGTTTGTGCGAGTTTACGTCGCAATTCGGCATTTTCTTGTTCTACCTTAATGCAATCGTGTTTGTATACCGATTGACTGGCGGCAGCGGAGGTATTGGCATTGGCATTGGCAGCGGTGATGGCGGAGGCAGGACGAGTATTCACATTAGCCACACTCATCCTATTCTCGGCGTTACTGTCATCCGTCTCTGCACGGGCAGGGGATTCTGTGCAATAGTTGGGGTGGGGAGAGGAGAGAAAAAATTATATACAGGTTAGTAAAAATATTTAAAAAAAATTTTTCCCATTATCATGAGCTTACCATTTTTGATATCCATATTGGAGATATGTCCCGTATCGCTCTCAATGCCCAGATCAGAGCTCGAGCTGTGTTGTGTGCGTTTACTGATAAGTGGTTTTGTATCTAGAAAAAAAGATTTAAATAAATGTAAAAATAAAATACGAGAAATAAGATTTCGACGGCAGAAAAAGAGAAAGTAAATATTTAAAAGTAAAAAAGGCGAATTCCATCAGCGAGGGGGTCTCCCTGAACTCATATGCCGACGACTGTTTGATATTAACATTCGGAGAGAACATTGACAACCTTTATTCAAAGGTAAGCTGCAATCTGTCCAACCTTTCCCACTTTTTTACTCTACGACAACTACAAACAATGAAGTCCTCGGCTACAAACTTCGCAAGCTGGACGAAGGAGCTGCTGCTATTAATATTTTGACCGCAAAAATATTCCCCAAAAACCTTCTTAGTGAAAGTTGTGGGAGTAGTAATCCTTGGCCGGACTATAATCCAGTCATTCCAGTAGGAAAACACGGTGTGGCGGGAACAAGTGGTTTTAAGTTGGTTTTTGACGACAGACATGTAAATTCTGTAACTCAGAGTCGGCAGGGAAGTACCGGCTCGAAGCGAATGTGTAAGTCGATGACATCAAGATCCCAACTCTTAATAACCCGAAATTACTGAGAGTCACATTGGATAACCTGGACTGGATCTTCACTACGCATACGACTGCGATTGCCATCCTAGTACAGAGCCGGAACAAAATCCTCAAATCGCAATCATTACTCGCTACTCACGAGGCAATCGTCCGATGGGTCGTTAGTTACGCCGCACCGATTTGGACACCGGGGACAGAGGGGTGATACAGGTGAAAAGCCTACAGAACACCGTTCTGACGATTGGAATAGAAAAACTACTGACTGAGGTCTCCTGTGCACAAATCAGGCGAAGAAACATTTGAACTTCCACCACCTAGGCACATCAAGGAGAAACTACTTGACCTAAAGCACGCAACCAATGGGCTCAAAAGAACCTACCGACAGGGCTTTGAGGCCATTCACAGAGAGTCAGTCAACATATATATAAACTCTCTTCTGACGAACGGTAGGTTAGAGGTTACAACGCTGTAGCGCGCAAAGACATCGAGCTGCCTAGCGAGACTCGGGTAAGGTTTGGATACTGTAGAAGACTTATCACCTACCTTGAAAGTATATTCGGATGGATAGGCAGGGACCGGAAAGCGCAAGTTTTTTTCGGACAACCCCACCTTGAGACCAAAAGACGGTCAGAGGGACGCTTATATGAGCGCCGTAGACATTTAAAGATAGGCAATAGAAAGAGGAAAGAGAACTGGAGGTAATAAAAGAACAGTAGCAAATAATATAGGTTAAGTTAAGCTAGACGACTCCTCGATGATGCTGCACCAAGCAGATAGATGCATTGAGAAGTGAGAAGAAGGATTATATGTGCAGTTATTGCAGTCTTTATCTAACAGCAGGCTAGTGGAAGAGTTGTGAAAGATAGTACTACATAAAGTAGTATTTTCTAATTTTATAAAAAGCACTTACCTTTAGCCACCTTCGCTGCGTTGTCGCTGCCACTTTGCGGCAGTGAGACAGTCTTCAACAAGGCGAGTTGTAAATTGGACAGATCACTCGACCCACGTCCCGTATCACTATGTATGCCCAAGTCGGGCGATGAGTTATTTTCACGTTTCGTGCTCGATTTCTGCACTTCATCGGAGGCGTAGCCCGATGGCGATGCATCGCTGGTGTTAAGACGCCTGCTAGGAGTTGCTTCCGCTTGTGTTTCTATTAATTCTTCGTGCAATTTTTGCACTATACTTTCAAGCACTGCAACGCGTTCTTTTGCTGACATGTGTTGTTTTCTCGCATCAACTAGTTGTTGTTGTAACTCTGTAATGCGTTTTTCTAATTGCAATTTTTCATTGCATAATTTAGTGCGATCGCTTACGAACTTGGACGCTTGTATAACATTTTCATCTAATTGCTTCCTGAGGTTACGTGCCTCCGCCTCACTATTGAGGAACATGCGTCGCAGATCGTCTTCGTTATCCGTCATTTCTTCGATGGTGTGCTGTGCTTGTATATACTGTGTCTGCAGTTCGACTAGCTGCGTCTTACATTCTTCGTATGTCGAGCGCGCGATCCATTCGCGTGTGAGTGTCTCTTTGTGTACGCGCTCTTGCTCCTTTAAACGCTCTTCCATCAGTTGTTCAAGTTCTTCCTTGAGCGTATCTAGACGTTGACGCTCCTTTTGGGCGGCCAACTTCAATTGCAATTCATACTTTTCTTTGACGTCTTCAATTTCGGTCTCTAGCGACTTCAATTGCATGATTACCATTTCCTTCTCTGCAGCTTTACGATCACGCTCGTCTTCTATCTTACGCATATCCCATAAGTTTTCATCGATTTGCCGTTGCATTGTTTTGTGAAATACGGCCATTTCGGTGGCAGCAGTACTGCTCTCAGGTGAGTTTTCACTGTCAATCTCAATTATGTCTGTGAGTAGTTGATCATTGCGTTTTCGCAACTTCTCCACCTCGTCTGTCAACGTTATGACACGTAGCGATTCCTTCTTCAAATTGTTATCAGCCTCAACCAGTTGAAATTGTATCATTAGTATGCGCTCGTCGCGTTGTGCGATCAGCTTCTCCAACTGCGCTATGCGATCCTGTGTGCGCAACTTCGTTGTGCGACTTTGCTGCAACGACGCCTTCACACTCTCGCTGTCTGAGTCTTCCGTGGGTGTGGTTTGCTTCTTGGCTGCCTCTTTCGCTGAGACATTTGCCGCTGCAGTTTCCTCCAAGCCAATGCGCGCCATTGAAACTTGCCGATCCGGTTCGGACCAAGCTTCGGATTCGCTCGCATTATCTAGTAGGAATGGTGGCAACGAGCGTCGTTCTTTGGTATCAGCCGTACCGCCACAGCTGCGTCGACTGTCCAATATTTTGCGCAGCGCTTTGTTCTCCGAGCGTAACACATCGAAGGAGTGATGCGCCCGCATATCTTCGTACGTATTGAGGGTCTTATTAGACAAAGCGGTATCATGCTCATCATCGTCCAATAGCAGACGTGATAAATTGCTGATATCTATCATGCTTTGATCGCCAGTAGAGAGTGTCTCGCGTATGCTTGTCGACAAATCAAGACTGCAATCGACTGCAGTGCGCATGGCACGTCGACGATCTGTAGAGAGGAAGTTCAAAACTTCTTTGTGTTTCATTAGCGATTGCAGGAAGCCGGCCAATTCGGTGAGGCGATCGGAGAGTGCGCTAAAGACTTTAATATAAGCGCGTCGACTTGTTTCAGCATTGTCCGCTTCGGCGCGTGCTGTACGCGCTTCAAGCCGCAATTCTTCAATCAAAGCCTCATTGCTACGTTCGTCGATGAGGCGTTTATTGAGCACATTCACTTTATGCTGCAGCAATTTGTTGTGATCCAATGCCCTTGTGTAGTCGCTTTCGGTGAAAGATTGCTGTAATTGTAGAGACTCAACGTGCTTTCGGCCAGCGGTAGGTGATAGCGGTGATGTGGTGTGGGAATTCACCAATTTTGTGAGTCTTTCGATTTCACGGTTTTTTTGCCAAAGTTCATTGTTGATAAGATCCTGTATGGAGAGCGAGAGTGGGAAGAGAAAAAAGAAAATAAATAAACAGTTTTAAATATTGATAATCTTAATAGGGGCAGATCAGGATTCTCCCTAACATTAACTTAAAATAAACCATGTTTGTTAGACTTGATTTTAAATTTTAAAGCCACTGCGGCGTAGTCGTGCTTCTGAGTAGACAGTTACAGTTACAAGATTGTACCCAAATTCTCACTTGCGTACTCATCGCAAAACCTGGAATCTTGAACAGCCCTGATTTAAGACGCATAACTGTGTGGAGCCTTGGCTCACGTCTAAAAGAGAGGGGACTTCAGTGACAGCACCCCAAATACCCGGTGAAGGATCACTAAGAGTATTTTTGTAGCGTATGTTCAGCAGAGGTGTGGCTGCGAATGGGCGTCAGTCTAGCGAGGTCAAGCGCCTTGTGGCAAACAATTCCAATAAAAAAGAAGTGACAACAGCCTCGAATGAGATACACCACCCGTTCGATTGCGTGCATGCTAATTTTACTAAGAACTACGATTTGAGGGAATGGAGCTGGAATGTCCGTTCCCATGATGGCCTCGTAAAAGTAAACGCTGACATCATCGCCATCCGAGAATTGCGATTGACGCAAATGCAATCAGAAAAAAGAGACTAAAATGCGCGAGCATGAAGAGCTTGATGAGACGGCCAATAACGGAAAAGATCGAAAATTCTACGAACATATAAGACGACTTTCAAACAGTTTCAAAAGCTTTTTCCTGTAGGAACGAGAAAGAAGATATTATGGCTGACGTTCATAGTCTATAAAAGACCGCTGCTCAAAAATTTACCCACAGTAAGGCATGTCTGTAGTAAAAGGCGACTGAAATCTCGCGAAAGCCGGGTTTTTATACCAGGACGACCCGGATCCGGTCACTCCCGCAATAATACCCAAAACCCCGACCAGGAATACTTGTGGTAACAACAACAACAGAGTCTATAGAATTTATGGAGGTGACACTTCTCCAGCCTGCTGTATGACAGTGAAAATGAAATAAGAAGAGATGGTGAATCCGTTTGTCACTTCCGAATGGATGACGAAGCTACAGACGTTCCATCTTCCGACTAAGATAAAATGCGAATAGCAGAACAACAAAGTGGCGGGAGCCTATGGCTCACCGGCTCAGCTATGTATTTAAGCATGAGCTGACAAACTGCATTTATTAGCTTCTTTACAGAATCTGGTCAGATGAGTGCATGACTATCAAGCTACTATCGAGCGTATTGTAAAAAAGATTAAAGCCCACCACCGTCAACGAAGTGAATGAACCTTATCGGACCGGGCAAATCTACAATTGTACAGACACCCGTGAAAGAAGAATCGAAAGACTCTCAACGATTTTAAAGCTGTCTTCGACAGCATTGAATGAAGCGCATTGTCTTAATTGGGTTTCTATACCGTGAACTGTTATAAAAATAAATTAATATTTAGCTCACCTGCAAGGCAGCAGTCTTCTTCTTCACTTCGGCTTCCAGTTTTTTTATCGTACTCTCATGATCACATTTTTGTGCGGGATTTTGGAAAGCCTCAGAATCGCTCATTGCACGATTGTTGCCACCGCAAGCAGCATTCGCTTTTTGCTCACTCTTCTCGCGTTGCAACAACTGTTGCAATGTACGGCAGGCGGTATCATAGCTCTTACGTAGTTTCTGCAACTCCTGTTGGGCATCGTCCAATTCGCAGAGTTTATCGGCCAATTCGATTTTTCTATCCTTCAGTTGGTACTAAATGAAGGGGAGGATGGGTAAAAGAAAATACAAATTAATAAACAAATAATAATAAAAAAAATATTAATATTAATTTAATACTATTAATTTGTTGTTGTTGATTATTTTGCATTGCATTTGAGTTGTTATTTTAGGTAAAAAATAAAATAAAATTTATTTGTTCTCAAAAATTTTTCACAAACATGCAATTTTTTTACAAAAATATATATACATAAATATTGGCATATACGTATGTATGAATGTACGCATAATTGAAATATATGTATACATGTAATTAGTTTAAAAAAAAGACATATAAATATATACGTATACATATGCACTAATAATCTATATGTACATACATATATTAAAGAAACAAATTTATATTTTAGAATACACCAACAAAAAAATATACAAAAAGCATATGTAAGATTATTTTATATATATTTTTCGTTTTTACAATTATTTCAGACACCGCACGCTGCTCTCCTGCCAATTATCAGTCTTTAGCTCTCTAACCTGCTCGGCATCTTTGCTTAGAGATAAGCGAAAACAAATTTTGCTAAGCGCGTAGGGAGTAGTGACGCAGAAGAGGATTACATGCACAGCGTTTGAATGGCAGAGGTTGGCCAACACTAAGATAGAGCGTTTGGCAGGTCGCATAACAGTAAGTAAGCTGCACTAATAGTTTCCAAATTTTGAATACACGAAACGTACGCCATCCATATGCGTTATGGGGTTGTGACGCTTCGCCTAAAGGTGTTTGTAGAAATTAGAGTTTGATTATACAGTACAAGTCCGCATATGTATAAACAAACATGAACGTAACGCTCACCTGCAGGTAGTCCACATCTTTCTCGTTGCAGGTTTCCGGTTCGCCACAGAATATGTTTGATGTAGAAAAATTCCCCTGCAAGGATGTACAACTATTGGAACGTGGCGTATAACATCCAACAGCAGCACCACTACCACTACCACTACCGCTACCACCGATGCTGCAACTGCACCCGCCACCACATCCGCCACAGCCACCACCCTCGCAGTTAGCAAACATATTCGCATCGCTTATTGTGTAACGTATTGGAAATTCCGGCTCGTGCGTATGCTCCTGCAGTTCGTCACATGCCAAACCCATGCGACAGTAGCCATCGCCTGCTTTGCTCATACCAACAATACTACGGTGACGACTACAAACATCATTACGATGGTAAGAACTCTTTACAATTGCATTACTCTCCGTGCGGTCGTGTTGCTCACACCTTTCCACCACTTTATTGTATTTGGCGCTGTTACTGTAGTTGACGGATAGTTTTTGCTTGAGCAAATATTCACCATGAAAATCACCACGTGCCTTCAACATATCACGATAATTCATTTCGTAGTGTTTATTGCAGTCCACGGGCTTCTCATCGAACTCATGTGCGTATTGCTGATAGATTTCCTCCTTTTCAATGGTGAAACATTCATTGGCCTTGCTGCGTTGCAGTTTACCAATTATAGCGCGAAAGAAACGATTTTCCTTTTTGGCCAAATTACGTTCGAAATTCATTTTTGTTACCATTTTTTCATAATCTTGAATGCGTTCGAGTAGGCGTGCCGTATTGGCAGTTTTAATGGAAATTGTCGACTAATTTGATTGGATTGATGGAGGATGAGGAAGAGGAGGTTGAAAGACAGTTGCAGAGATGTACAAGACAATGAAATACGCTTTGGTTTAGAGAGATGGACATACATGAAACTCAGATGAGCAACAACAAGCGGTATATGCTAGATAAGACGCTTACATATGTCAATATATATAAAAAATCTAAACAAACTAGGCTCTGAACTTAAAAACTATTCACTAAACTCAAAAATAAAATTTTAATTCGAAAGCAGATCGGTTTTATTAGACAAAAATTTCGATATTCAAACTAACCTCAAAAATAAAATTTTAATTCGAAAGCAGATCGGTTTTATTATACAAAAATTTCGATATTCAAACTAACCTCAAAAATAAAGTTTGAATTCGAAAGTAGTTACATTTTATTATACAAAAATTTCGATATTCAAACTAACCTCAAAAATAAAGTTTAAATTCGAAAGCAATTTGATTTTATTACACAAAAATTTCGATATTCAAACTAACCTCAAAATTAAAGTTTAAATTCGAAAGCAATTAAATTTATTATATAAAAATTTCGATATTCAAACTAACCTTAAAAATTAAATTGAAATTAAAGTATTGTAGCTAGCTTGAGTTAGAAGTCAGTTTGGGTAAGCGAAAATTTGAAAATATTCAATACCAACCTTAAAACTAAAATTCAAATTTGAAAGCGGATAGGTTTTGTTATAAGAAAATTTCGAAATTCAAGCTAACCTCAAAATAAAATTTAAAATTTTGTATTCAAAAATTTTTGTATTCAAAAATAATAAATAAAACTAAATTCGAAAGGAGATAAGTTTTAATATACAAAAATTACGATATTCAAAACTTATCTCAAAATAAAATTTTTAACTGTATAGAGTTAAATTTGAGTATGTAAAAATTTGAAATATTCAAAACTAACCTCAAAGAAGAAATCCAGAGTGGAAAATTGAAGATTTCGAAATTCAAACTAGACTCAAAATTTTGAATTCAGATAAAATAAATATATACAAAAAAAAATTAACTCAAAAATAAAATCTTAATTTGTGTTGAAAATATTTGGGTATTAAAAATGTGGAAATATATAAAACTAACCTCAAAAATAAAATTCGAATCCGAAAGATGATAAGTTATTTATGGATTTGAATTAATATACGAAAATTTCGAAATCCGAACTAGTATCCAAATTGGAATTTAAGTATGAGTATGCCAAAACTTTAAAAATTCGAAACTAACCTCAAATATAGACTACAAAACTAATAAATAAATAACAGTAGGTAGCGCTTAGTATGTAGATTTCTTTGCTTAAATTTCTCTAGCAATTAAATTTCAATACGAGAAGTCAAAACTGTTGTGAAATCAAAAATTAAAAACCGAATTTGGTGGGTAATTTCGCTTGGTACTACTTTCAAATTCTTTAGTATCAAATGTATCAACAAGCAAATACTCAAAAACAGCGAATTCCGACAAATTAATGCTAAAAATATTAAAAACTCAGTTCAAAATACAAAACTACAAAGCGAAAACTCATTCGAGGGCAAGAAAATAAGTATGTGGGTGGTTGAATTTTAATAATTTTTATAAAACTGAAATATTTTAAGATTAAAGTTGAAAAATTATAATTGAAAACGAAACAAATGAGGTTTGAAAGTAAAAAAAAAATAGTTTTGAATTGCATATTTCAAGTTTTCAAACTCAAAACAAACTAAAATAGAGATAAGCGAAAGCTGCTGAAAATGACTATTTTGGTCTATTAAAAAAAAAACTACAACTCTCTACTCAATAACCCTATGCAGTTAACGTCTACCACTCGAATAATATATTTTTCGATATCTACAAAAACTTACTTGCATTTTGCTCAATGCATCTTGTTGTTCACGCATTCTCTTCTCACATACTTTCATATTTGTGAATTCTTTACGGAAATTATCTTGAGTGGATTTCAAAGCTTCTATCAAATTACCATTATCCTCCTTCAAATCAGCATTGCATAGACGAAGACTTTTCAATGTTAGCTTTAAGCAAAAGATTTTAGCAATGAAAAGTGAATTTAAAATTGAATGGTAGGGATTGAGGAAATAATAGGAAAAGTGTTTTATGATTTACATAAATATGCACTTAAATAAAAATATAAAATTTTAATAATTCGGTAATATCTTGTTTAAGCTTAAGCTAGATCTTAACTCATAACAACTCAAATGCAACGCAATAAATTTTCCTTAAATCCATCAACCTCTACAGACTTACCTCAATATTTGCCATATCCTTCTCTTTATTCTCCATCATTTCCTGTAACTCAGCATGTTGGAATGCCAACTCCTTCACTTTGTCTTCATATTCCTTAATGGCCTCATCACGCATGGCGATAATATCTTCGAATTTGCTATTTTGTGCTTGTAATGCGCCGATTTTCTCCTCAGATTGTGTAACCATGCCCTCGAGTTCACGTATCTGTCGTGTATGGTGATTCATTTTTATCAACAGAGAAATGCGAATAAATTGTGTACAGCAACCGAGTGATGTGAATGAGTGAAAAAATAGAAGAATTGTTTTATGATTTAGTTAATGCATTATTTTTTATTATTACAACTATTAAATATTTATATATATATATATTTTACCATCTTTAAATTATGCGTAGCAATAAATTAAGTAAAATTATACAAACTTTTTGTAATGTATTGACATTTTCCGAAATCTCTGAACGTCCTAGTAAATCATTCATAAATCCGCTTTGTTGAGACTTGTCCATATCGCGTTCCATCTGAAGTGAAAAATGGTAAATAATATTAGATCTTTTCTTATATGAAGGAAATATATGTTATATAAAAGCTTCAAGTTAAGAAAGTGAGGTTATGTTTGCAAAATGATTTCCTATTAATGTACGAGTATATCTGTAACAATATCAATTTTAATAATAATGATTTGAAAATTTCTAAATCAAAAAATAAAAATCTCTAAAATTTATAACTTTAAATAAAATAAAAAAATATCTAATACCAAATATTTTTTATTTTATTTGAAGTTACACATTTTAGAGATTTTTATTTTTTATTTTTGTATTGCAAAAATCTATATTACAAATTTTAGAATGTTTTTCAGTTTTTAGTAGCTACGCTTGGAACTTGAAAGTTGGTAATCTCTGAGCTAATGCATAATTTTCAGGATTTATTTCCAAAATTGCCTTTCAATTTTTTTTTTTAAACATTTCTAACTAACTGTATCTTAATTTTACTTCCTTTCTTATTTTTACTTATATCTTAGCTTATATTATATTTAATTTCAATTCTCTTATTATATTTTATGTTTTCAATCTGTATATATGTATGTACATAATACTTTATTTCTTTTGCCTTTTTTAATTTTTTAAATTTTCAACTGTTTCTTATATTTTTATTATATGATAAGTTTTAAATTGATTTATTTTATTTTATCTCACTATTTATTTTATTTAATTTTTTTAATTTATTTATTTTTTTTATTTCATTTAATTTTTTTTATTTAATTGTACTAAATTTTGTTCTATTTTTATTTTTTTTATTTCCTTTAATTTCATTATTTGTACTTTTTGCTTTATTTACTTTTTTATATATTTATTTTTTATTCAAATAATAATTTTTTTATTTTAATTATTTTATTTTCATTTTATTTATTTTTTAATTAAATATTGATTTTGTTTAATTATTTTATATTTTCATTTTAGTTAGTTAATTTTTTTAGTTTAAATCATCTTATTTTATTTTATTTTATGCTTTTCTTTTGATGTATTTTACTTTTTTAAGATAATTTTTTGATTTCCTTATTTATTTAGTTTTTTTATTTAAATTTCTAACTAACCTTATTTAATTTTTTTAAATATTTTTAATTTCTTTTTTATTTTAATTTTTATTTCTTTTTTTATTTATTTTTACTTCCTTTTTATTTCATTTTAATTTTTTTATTTTTTTATTTTTTTTTATTTTTTTAATTTTTTTATTTTTCTTTTTTATTTTTTTATTTTTCTTTTTTTTATTTTTCTTTTTTATTTTTTTTTATTTTTCTTTTTTATTTTTTTATTTTTCTTTTTTATTTTTATTTTTTTATTTTTCTTTTTCATTTATTTATTTTTTATTTATTTCTTTTTATTTCTTTTTTGCTTTCTTTTAACTTTTCCTCATGTTATTTCTACTTTCTTAATTTTATTTTTTAATTGTTATTTTCGTTTTATCTTTATTGTTTTTAATTGTTATTTTCATTTTTCCTTTATTTTCCTTTATTTTTCTTTCTTTGTTTTCTATTTTCTTATGTATTTATTTTTTTTCGCGTGTTGTTATTTCTATTTTTTGCTTAATTTTTTATTCTTTCTCTTTACTCTTTATTTTTATTAGTTATTTAAATTTTTTAAATTAATTTTAATTTAATTTATTGTTATTAATTGAATTGAGTTCAATTTACTTTGTTATTTAATTACTTTTATTTTAGCTTATTTAATTTTTATTTTAAATTTGATTTTTATATTTTATTTCATTCTGTTCTTACTTTATTTTTTTAATTTATTATTTTTTACTTTATTTCTTTTTACTTTCTTTTGATTATTTTTATTTTATTTTATTTTATTTTGTTTTCTATCATTCAATTTTATTTTATTTTGCTTCGTTTTACTCAAGTTTTTAATTTATTTTAATTTATTAAAGATAATTTTTTCACTTTATTTCGTTTAATTTAATATTTGTCTTTTATATTATATTTTAATTATTTAAATTAAATTTATTTTTATTTTTTAATTCACTATTGAATTTTTATATTTTTTTGTTTCATTCATTTTCTGCATGTTTTCGATCAATCCATTTCGATTTTACTTAATTAATTTTTATTAATTATTATTTTTGATTTAATTTAACTTAATTTTTTATTTTAGTTATTTATTTGTTTTGTTTCGTTTATTTTATTCCATTTTTATATTACTGTTTATTACGTTTTTTTCTTTTTTAATTTAACTCACCTCAAGAAATTGTATTTTTTGTTTTAGCTCCTCAATAAAGGCTTGCGCCTTCGTTTCAGTCTCTTTTTGTATTTCCTCCATGTGATTCATGGCTTGTGCAGCTTCTTTCAACAACTCTTGCTTCTCTTCAAGCTCCTTACGCAGGATTTCGATTTCAACCTGAGAAATATATATACAAAAATTTAAAACACCGCAGATCATAATTACGTTCTCTCCTTCACACATACCTTCGTATCAATCAGTTGCTTCATGAGCGATTCATGCCCCTCGGTATTCGCCTGATGGTAGCCGGGCACACTTTCCTCAAGGAAATACAAACGTAATTTTAAATTAAAATTCTCCTTACGCAACGAAGCCATTTGCTCCTCGAATTCGCGCACCGAACGGCCCTGTACGGGTGGCGAGGTCGCGCCTTGTCCTTGTAGACTGACGCACGGAAAGCCAACACCATCTGAGAATGAAAAAATTGTGAAAATTTATTATGAACAATTTATGTATATTTAATAAATTCTTATAAAAAATTAGTAAATATTATTTCAAAAAGATTATTTTCCAACCGTCTTTACCATCGCCACTCATATCCGTTTCGCTGAGCGGCGTATGTGTGTTATGCTTGAAGACATACAATTTCTCTTTGCAATCTTGTGAGCTAACCATGCTGGACATACTGCGACGCATGATGTGACCGCTACAATTAACGCACTTTCTTTTTTATTCTTTATTCGAATTTATTTCACTATTTAAGTGTATTTATCGTTTATTGCTGTTATCTATTGCATGTACTCGTATTGTGGTTGTATCTATGTATGTCGGTGGTGATTCCAAAATGGAGTTGCGTATTACAGTTATTTGAAATTTTTTCTATATTAGTTCTTCAATTTGGTTTTGAAAGTATGATTTTAAAAAATATCTTTATTTTTTATTTTTTTACACAAATTCAAAACTGATTTTTTTGACGTAAAGTCAAGTAAAGAAATGTGTTTTCATAATTTTCAGTTATTTACCGAGTAGAGTTTTTAAGCTAGGTGGAGAGAAAAGTTGAAAAACTAATAGTTTTTGAGAAGAGGCGTATATACGAGTGCATACATACATAGAGAATTGCGAAACCTGGTGTGTGGGTAGAGAGTGGTAGTTGAACTGTTCGACGTCAAGAAGAAGGGACAAATAAAATTGCAGTGGATCTCTGAAGGGTGAATTTTCTTACAAAGCAGAGCTCCTTAAATGAAACATATAAATCTCACGGTCATTAAAGTAGAGCTCTTATCGCGCCGAGGTTTATTGAATTTCAGTCGATTGAGACGAAACAAATTATCCACATGCTTCTACTTCTTCTTTATTGAGATTGTCACTGCTTACTCGATTATAGCTGAATCATCTCTTCCTTTCCCTGTTTGGCGCCACTTAGAAATGCCAGTTTCCACCTGATCCTTCCAATGGCGTGTAGACCTTCCTCTTGCGCTGCTTCCGCCTGCTAGTACTGCATCGCAAACTTTCAAAGATGGAGTGCTTTCCTCCATTCGGACGACAAGACCTAGCCAACGTAGCTGCTGCTTCTTTATTCGCTGAACTATATCAGTGTCGCCGTTCAACTCGTACGGCTCATCGTTCCTTTGGTGCTGCGGTATTCGCCAATCGCAAAACATTTCTCTCGAAGACTCCTAGGGCCGACTTATCGGATGTTGACAATGTCTATGCTTCCGCACCAAGTTAGGTTTTCGCTCGTCGGGAGAGGACTTTACTTTTCAATATCCTGCTCAGTCCACAGTAGCACCAGTTGGCAAGAGTGATTCTGCGCTGGATTTCAAGACTGATGTTATTTTTGGTGTTAATGCTGGTTCCTAGATAGACGAAATTATCTACGACTTCAAAGTTACGACTGTCAACAGTGACATGGGAGCTAAGGCGCGAAAGCGATGACTGTTTGTTTGATAACAGGAGATATTTCGTCTTGCCCTCATTCGCTTCTTTATCGCGTCTGGAGAAAACAGAACTCACGGCGCGGTTATTGAGGACAATAATGTCAGCAGTAAAGACACACGATAAGGAATCGCCCTGTCTGAAACCTCGTTTGGTATCGAACGACTCGGAAAGGTCATGTCCGATCCTGACGGAGCTTTTAACTTTAAGTTTTGCGGGGATAACAAATTCAGACATAGCGTCGTAGAGGCTGCTCCTTTTCGTGCTCGCGAAGACTGCTTTAAAATCCACGAAGAGGTGGTGTGTATCGATTCGCTTGTCAAGGGTCTTTCCAAAGATTTGGCGCATGATGAATATCTGGTTAATGGTTGACTTACCAGGTCTAAAGCCACATTGATAAGATCCAATCAGTTTATTGACTGTGGGCTTCAGTCTTTCACGCAATACGCTCGATAGAACCTTATATGCGATGTTAAGGTGGCTTATCCTACGGTAAGTGTCGCAGACTGTGGAATCGCCTTTTTTTGTGGATTGAGCAGAGCACACTTAGATTCCAATCATCGGGCAAACTTTCCTCCGGCCATATTTTGCAAAGAAGCTGATCCATGCATCTGATGCACACAGGATCAGATAGCCGTCAGCTAAACGGACTAGCGTTTCTCTGTGCCAAACAGAGCAATTCCAGTAACTATAGCTTGGAACTGAAGCCTCTGTGTGAAAACACCTCGAAGAGGTGAATGCTTAACCTCGAGATCATACCAATTACTGATGACCAATCAATTCTCAACGATGGCACACTGGACTGTTTTAACTAGCCTCTATAAAAAAAAAATTATTTTTCTTGACCAAATTGTTTTAACCATGTTTACTTCATGGGAGTCAATGAAGTTGGATTAGTCTTTGGCTCAACTGATGACCTATCTTACATAGAGATTCATCTGCGCGCTGGTGATGGCTGTGTCCGTTCGTCTCGTCTGTCGAAAGATGGTTGATTGTTGGACGCCAATGACACCAGCCATAGGAAGAGAGTTAATTAAAGAGTTGAAGAGGTTGGGGTTTAGAGCCTGTCTACAGCTAGTCGCATCCAGTTGTGAAGCTCGTGTAATGCTATGCTAAATGGAGTTCGAAAAGTAAAGTATTTCCTCGCTGGTGTGCAAGGCATTAGTTCGGCTACTAGCAGGTGTCGGTAAAGATTATAAATGCGGTAGCATGCCAGCAGTATTGCTTATACAGCATGACATGTACTGGGACCATGGATGTCTCACTATACAAATACTATAGAAGTAACATGCGTCACTTTACATTTGTCGTTAACAAGGCGATGTTCTGGCAGTCTTGGAGCTTGTTCTTCTTCTCGCTAGTGCCCCGTGCTCGGCGACCTGACTCCGTTTAAGACAACAGTTAATACCTCTCAATTAGTTTGAAAAATGTTTTGAAAACGATTTCGGCCAAGCTACCGCCGTGGCTGCCAATAACGCAGCGAATAGTCTCTTCCCCTGTGTCACACGTCTCGGGCTTATCTATCATACGTAGACAACAAAAAGTAGTCCAGCGGTGTTAAATCGCACGATCTTGGAGATCTTGATCACACCACAAGCACACGACGCTCACGATAATGCGTCTATGGCGTTCCCCATTGATTGCAACATTATGAACGCCTTCATTTTTGAAGAAATATGAACAAATGATTGCCATAGAACATACCAGACAGTGACTTGACGAGGTTGTAAAAGAGTATAGATGGTAAAGTAGGTTGTGAAGTGTACTCTGAGCCTTTTGCTATAGAATTAAATAAAAGGCTTCGCGGCCGCTGGTTCGGAACCCTCCATAAGCATAAGCCGTTTGCTTAATAACCGGGCACTGTCTTATGTCACATGATAGAAGGATGGGCTGCTTCTCAAACAACTTCTACAGCGGCATATATTAGAAGGACTTGGGGGAACACTACCTCTGTCAATGCCCAGCTCTCAGTGCGATGGTACGTTAATGTTTTTATGGAATTTTCTTCTGCGATTGCCTTGCAGAGCTTGCATCGGTAGACGTCATTTATCTGCGGAATTTCATAAAACACACTACACAAAAGGTTTGAACATTTGGAAAGGTGAAAGGAATCTCCTGAGCAGGATCAACGGGGTTATGAAAGCGGGCTAATAGGCTCAAGTGCACTTCACCTGGGTTTCGTGATAAAGCAACTGGTTAAACTAACTAGCTAACTAACTAATTAACTAACTAATTATCTACCAATTCAACCAAAAGTGAGTTTCATGGTTGAACAAAATTTTCTTATGGAAATCGGGCCATTGATGGCCAAATCGTTTTCGGCTGGATGGTCGTTCGATATAAGCAGCTCAACAGCAGCAATAGAATGTGCGGTGCGCGGTCTTTGAGGCTGCGAATTAAACACTATAGTAAACGTGGTGTGAAACCTATCGCTACCCTAACACCCTTTATTAACCCAAATCCACTTTCATCAATTTCTTACACAATTTTGAAACAATGAATTTAAAAAAAGAAATATTTTGCTGGACAGTGTACAGTGCACACTTGCATATATGTAAATACTCACATGGATGCTCCATTGTAACATCCTTCAGTGTGCTCGGACTTGTGCTGCAAAGAGAAAGAAAGAAAAAAAATGAAAATTTTATTTTAATTACAACAAACAATTCCAAGTATTCTACTGAGCAAAAAAAAAATAAGTATAAAACAGAAGAGTAAAGAAAAAATGAAGATAGTTGAGCATTTAGAATTCGCAAACACTTTTCCAGTTTAGAGCAGAGTGTGTGCCACTTGAGGCGATCAAATTAAGGAAATAAACCATGAAGAGAGGGAGAGAGAGAGAACAATAACACAAAGTACTAAATTTAATGCTGAAAAAGAGAAAAAAAAATACGCATAAAAACCACATGCAAAAGGCAGACAAGGAGCTCGTTTGTGTATATATGTATGTAATCCCACATGGGGCCAGACAAGCAAATCCACCAATTACATACAGTATGGTTACTTATGAATAAATGGGCATTAGACAGTTCACCATGCCGAGCAGCGGTTAAGCGCCCGCATAAATTCAATGCGTTTCCTTTGTGTCCCAGTGACTTTTTTTCGATTTTTTAATTTCTTTTCTTTTTTCCAATTTTATTATTATTATTTTCACTTTCCGATAAACGAGTCATGTCGTGTCGGTCGCTCATATGCCGCCTGCGTCACAGATCTGCCGATCGCCCGTTGTTCGTCGTACACTGTGTGAATTATGATGAATAGTTTGGAAATGAAAACAAAAGGAACTGTAGCATTAGATGAGACCGTAGCATATGTATGTATGTACACGTGTATGCGTGCATCCAAGAGGCAGCACAGTAGGTGGGCGGCACATATAAGACGTACACTACATGAGTGCTGCACATGTGCCATGTACAAGTGCGACGCATAGTGTAGCGGTAGCAGGAGCAGTAAGAGCATGTTGGACCAGCGCACAGCTAGTTGCACTTCAATGGCACCGCAGAGACTGCTGGAATTATAATGATGGAAAAAAATGCCTAAAGTACATTTTAATTATTGCATTGCGGAAGTTCTAATACGCTTTGGGCTCGATGTTTTTGCTTCGCTTTGGTAAATGACAGCTAATGAAATTGGTGATTGACCAGCAACTCTTCGTATAAAAGTGAAAAGATCATTGTAAATTTAATGGCTTAATCACGGTGGCAGCGAGAAATGCATAAATTGCAGCTTTAGGCAGCTAGAAATAACCGTTTAGTTCTAGTGCTGTAGGTACTCGGGCCAAAACTAACTTTCCTTTCCGGTTCTGTGGGTACTCGGGCCCGAAATAATCTTCCAGTAACGGTTTCGCAGGTGGTCAGACCAGGATTAGCCTTAGGTAGGTAGGTACTCGCGCTAAAACTAATCTTCCAGTATTGGTCCGTTTGGTTAAAACTATTATTCCAGTCTCGATTTTGTATTTACTCGAACCAGGACTAACTTTGCAGTCTCGGTTTTGCAGGTACTCGGCCCAAAACTAACCTTACAATGTCGATTCTTTAAGTAATCGGGCCAGAGCCAATCTTCCAGTCCGGTTTTTGCCGGTACTCGGGCTAGAGCGAATCTTCTGTGGTCCAGAACTAATCTTCCAGTCTCGGGTTTGTATTTACTCAATCCAGAACCAACCTAGCAGCCTCGGTTTTTTAGATACTCAGGCCAGAACTAAACCTCCAGCTTCGATTCTGTAGGTGCTTGGACCAGAAATAATCTTTCAGTCTGGATTCTGTAGGTATTTGGGCCTGAACAAATCTTCCAGTCTCGGTTTTGTATTTACTCGAGCCAGAACCAACCTAGCAGCCTCGATTTTGTAGATACTCGGGCGAGAACTAAACCTCCAGCCTCGATTCTATAGGTACTCGGACCGGAACTCTAAAAAGTAGCAAGAGCACTTTGGATAAGAGTAGAACTTTAATTCGTTAGTTGCTGTAGTCGCCTGATCATCGATCCATGAACAAGTTCAATTAGTCCTTTTGGCAGGTTGGCCTTGTGAAGAAGGTCCCTATCACTTACTTAAGTGGTCAAACCATGTAATATTTTGTTGAATCCCACAAGGGGACTGCTCGTACTTGCTAAAGCTGATCGGACTGTAATGAGGATTGGCCAGTGGCAATGGGATTGCTCTAATAAACCCTCACCATCAATAATATGTCCCTGTAGCTGCGACAAAAGTCCACTGAGAAGTAGTCATCATCCAAAGGTCCAGGATGCTGCGAAGGTCCAGAAAAGTTTCGATTCGATGTAGAATTCGAGACTAACTTAATGTAAGAAATATCTCCTCTGTTCATAACAATCCGAGTAGAAAAAAAAACCTTTATTTCAATATTTTATTTAGTAAAAAAAAAATCCCTTCAACAATCGGAACACATTGGGTATATTTGCAAATTTTAAATTTCATAATTCCAAACTCAGCTTCCACTCATTTCTCTTCTCGCCCCGCCACTTCCTGCAACCCGTCGAAATCGCCATCAAAACAATCATCCACAGCCGTAAGCGTTCGATTACAATACACCGAATACACGCTCCAAGCGCTCCAACCCTGCCGACGTTGTATAGTGCGAGCACATTCCACCGCCTCGGTTATGTCATCCTGCAGCAAAGCGTTGCAGGTGACATTGCATTCATTGAAAACATGATATTTCACACCATTGTCCGGCTGACACCAATAGCGGCCGCTGATCTGAAAGAGTCCATAGTCACTGGAACCATCCGCATTGCGATTGCCCACCACGTGGGTATTGTAGCGACTCTCATAGTGTGCGATGCACAGCCACAACGAAAGCTCCGATTTCGGCACATCCAAAATATACAATTGACCGGCGAGTTCGCAGCGTTGCAGACGACGTGCGTGAATTGGCGCGACTGCGTGAAACAGAAATAGCCAAAGGTAGCAAAAAATGCCGGTGGCGGTGATGATGGACGTGAGGTGTGTAGCTGAAAGCGTTGGCCGTGCAACTATGTTGGGTGTTGGTGACAACTGTTGTTGCTGTCGTTGCCGAGGTTGTGTGTTTTGGCACATAATTCCTATGACACTTTGATGAGTTCCAAACGAAATAAGGAAACAGTTGGCGCGTTAATTACGTTTTGATAGTTTATGCGAATGCCAATGCGGATGTCGTTGCTGTTCAATAATAGCGGTCTCGCTGCCGGTGAATGATGTACTGATGTACTGATGTACAGAGTCGCATCATCAGGTGAATGCGTTTGGGGGAAGTCGATAGCAAAAGTTAATTTAAGAATCAATGCTTGTTATAAAGGCAATAAAATACAACAGCAACTACAACAACAAGTGGAACTGCAGCCAAAACCTGTTTCAAGTGTAACTACATGCATACATACATACATACATACAGATGTACATAAGTACATTTTGCGAAGATTCTTTACGGTAATTACATAGCGTCTGCTTGTTGGGCTACTACACTCTGGACGTCCTCGCCAGCGGCTCTGTTATTGATACTCTACTCCCCCCTCTCTCTCTCCCCTTCCACTCACTATTCGAAAGTCGCGGTCGCACACCTTTTTCCTGCTTTGCCCATTGAAGTGTTTAATAAAATAAATATTTAAGAACAAAAAAGTGGCGTGAGAATTATTTATTGTTATCCGATTTACGCGCATTCACGCTTTGCACGCTTTCGTTGTGGCATTCAGAGTGTGATTAGCGGGGCTAGAAGACGAAGCCAAGAGTGACGCATAGGAATGTAAGAATGTAAAATTATGTGAAGGTGTCGTCATGAAAGTGAAAGGGAAAGTCCGTCTGTTGAAGTTTTTCACACGCCCCATTCAGACAACCTTGAGGAAAACCCTTTCAAATTAAAAAATATGCAAATGCTAGACTATCTGGATGACTTAATCGTATTTTCATATTTTTTCTTTAATTTTTTATTTATTTTTTAATTTTTTCATAAATCTTTTACTTTTGCATTTATTTTTATTTTTCCCATTTATTTCTATTTTTTCATTCTTTTTTAAATTTTTTATATTTTTTTCCATTTATTTTTCTTTTCGTTTTTTTTTCATTTCACTTTTTATTTTTATTATATTTCATTGAATTAAAGTTTATTTTTTAAATAGTTTATTTGTTTTTTCTTTTATTTTTATTTTACTATTTTATTTTGTATTTATTCTTTAATTTCTTATTCTTCTTGAATTTTTATTTTTGCAAAATTTTTTTTTGTTTATTTTTTATATTTGTTTTATTTTTTTCATTTATTTTTAGTTTTTCATTAATTTTTATTTTATCGATTTTTTATATTTTTTCACTTTTTATATTTTTTTCATTTTTTATACTTTTTTCATTTATTCTCATTTTTTTATATTTTTCCATATATTTTTTTTTTTTAATTTTTTATTTCCCATTTTATTTTTATGATATTTTATTAAATTAATAATTTTTTTTTAATATTTTATGTGATTTTTTATAAATATTTTTTTATTTTACTTAATTTTTTATTTGTTTTCTTTTAATGTTTTACTTTATTTTATTCAGTTTATTTATTTTATTATTTTTTAAATTATTTTATTTGATTTTTTTTGTATTTCATTTTATTTCTTATTATGATTTACTTTATTATATCGTATTTCCATTTTAATTTTTATTAATTAATGTTATATTACTCTCTTTTAAACTTTCGTTTTATTTTATTTTTGGTATTTGAGTTTGTTCGTTTTATTTTTTCATCTTTTTTTGTTTTATTTTATTTTAACTAAATTTATTATTATATATCTTTATTTTCATTTATGTTGATTTCATTTCCCTTTAGTTTATTTGGTATTTACTTTAATTGTTTTATATTTTGTGGTTTCGCATCTTAATTTATTTTATTTTTATATTTTATTTAACAAATTTTATTTTTTATTTATATTATTTTTTATAATTTATTTTTTTTTTACACTTTATTACATTTGTTTTATTTTATTAAATTTAATCTTGTTTAATTTTATTTTATTTAACTTGATTCTAATCTAATTTTGTTTTCTATTATAATTATTCTATTTTTATTTAATTTAATTTTTTTTTAGCTAATTTTATTTCATTCGCAACAGCTGCACGAACTGCAAGACGAAAAAAAATCACTTCACTCCAAATGCCAATTGAGATTATAAAATATGCTAAAATATGCCTTACAAATTTTGGTAAATAAATTCCCCAAATGGCTTTTTAGGGCAATTTGTGCAAAAATTTCGCAGAAAATGAAAAATGTAATTAAAAGTTCATTTAAAAAGAGCCGACGAAGAACAACACCCACAATTACCTAATTGTTAAGTGAAGCCAAAAGCAGCAGGCAACCAAAGCGGCCAGCCAAGCCTTTCCATAATAAAATTTATTCGATCGTGTACATATGTACACACATACTACACATGTAAGTACTATTATTTGTCTCATTACATGCTTTTTTCTCCCCATTTTTTTGCTACAAAAGTCACTTCATAAGGCGAGAGATTGTCACCCGCACCCACGACCCGCGTTCTCTGCGATACTTCACAGTCGCATTCAAATGTAGATCAGCAGTTGCTCTGTGTCCGTCTGTGAGTTCAATGCACGCAATGATGCGTAACATTCAATTTCGTTCATAGAAACCAAATCAACAGCCGAAATGCGTGTCATTAAATGCTAGTGTTGTTGTTGGTAATGTTGTTGTTGGTGCTGGCGTTTGTTAGCCGTCCCCCATCAACATCATCATACTCATATCTAATGCTATATACAAGTTGACTACAAATAAATTCTATTTGAACGCCACAAATTTATAAATAAATAAATAAATGAAATCGCGCAGAGTTGTATCGAAGACTACTACACTACTACGTTCTCCGAATGTTGTAATACTTAACGTAACGTAAGCATAGACACATAAGAAGTTGGGTAGAACAAAACCAACGAGATTGACACGCCAGACGATTGAGCGAGTGCAACACAAATATACCCAACAGACAGTCGAGACTAGTATCAAATAGACACAGCAGCAGAGTCAGAAATTAAAACAAATATACAAATATATAGTTACATAAACCACATTACACTAGAAGGGGAAATTTTTCAGTGGAAAAGTAATAAATGATAAAAATATAAATAAAAATATTACAATATAAATAGAAATAAAAATAAATAAATAAGAACAATTAAATATAAATATAATATAAAATAAATAAAGAGCAAAGATTTAATAAAAAATATTAAAAATAAAAAACAAAAATAAAAAATAAGAATTAAAGAAATTTATAAAATAATTAAGTTAAGTCAGGATCCGTTGGTTCGATCCCTGCCATAAGAAGTCTGATGAGGAGATGTGGTGATCTCCGAAACAGCTGTCACTTCCACCATTTTTCTTTGTTGTATAACAAATATTCAATTCATACAAACAACATACGAGGCCTTGTTAACTTAATAAAATTAATAAAAACATAAATAATTTATGTAGAAAAAAAGTATAACAATATAAAAAAAATAAAAATTGAACAATATAAAAAAATTAATTTTACAAAATATAAAATAATAAAATAAAAAATACAAAATAGTGAGAAAAAATATATAAAATAAAATTTAAAAAAAAATTATTATATTAAAAAAAAATAATTAAATTAAAAAATAATAATTAAATTTAAAAAAAAAATAATTAAATTAAAAAAAATATTAATAATTTTGTTAGCCTAAAATAAATTTTCAATCATTTGACGTTGGAAAATATGCAATGAAAACAAAAATTAATACGCATTCTCCTTCACCCTTCCTTCAAAGAAGCGAGTTCTAAGCTTCTTTTAATTCAATACTCCAGCTAATTAATTGACGACTCTTCAACATCTTTCGGACCACCATCTAGCTCCACGTCCGACGTAAAAGAAACACAAACAATATGCCACCAACATATACAAATGTAATGAGGTGTTAAGTGATTTGACGCTTGGCATAAATCCTTCGGGGATCGATCAACAAATATACGTATCTATTCGTAAACTAAACAATAATTAATTCAAACAAGATTTGAAAGTAGCGATCAGCTCAACATTTGTTTACATTTGAACCTTTCGACCATTCCCAAAGGAACCGCCGCAACATTGCGTCCTAGCTAAAATCTTGTACTCACGTACAATTATGCAACAAACATATTGTAAACACAATTTATTGTATGTATATACACATGTAACTATCAAACGAATGGCCAACATAAATAATTATCAAATAAATTGGTCCGAACGGCAGGAGGTGCTGCTCTGGATGGACGTTTATGGTAGAAATGTGTTTTATTTCTATCTTTCAAAAGTTTCGGAAAACTTTTTTCCATGTTATTTATTTTAGATTTTTTAATTTCTTTTTTATATTTATTTTTTTATATGTTTGAAGTATTTATTTTCATTAATTTTTTATGTTAGTAACATTTAATTTATTTTAGATGATTTTACTTTTTATTTTCTATTTTTTTAATTTTGTATTTTATAATTTTTTATTTTTTATTTTATTTATTTTTTTTTATTTTATTTTTTTTTATTTTATTTTTTTTTTTATTTTATTTATTTTTTTTTTATTTTATTTAGTTTTTTTATTTTATTTAGTTTTTTATTTTATTTATTTTATTTTATTTTATTTTATTTATTTTATTTATTTTATTTTATTTATTTTATTTTATTTATTTTATTTTATTGTTTTAATTTAGAATTTCTTTCTTTTTTTAATTTAAATACTTTTATATTTCTTATTTAAATATTTTCATAATTCTTATTTGAATATTTTTTTCCATTTTTTCTCTTTTTTATTTTAGAATTATTTTTAGTTTAGGATTTTTGTGTCTTTTAATTGAAATAGTTTATATATACTATTATTTAAAATTTTTTTATGCATTATTTATTTATTTAATTATTTTAGTTTTGACTTCTCCATTTTTCTATATTTTAGATTGTTTATTATTTTTTAAATTGTTGTTTTAGTTTTAGTTTTCTTTAATTTAGAATATTTCCTTCTTAATTAGACATTTGATTTTACATTCAGAAGTTTACTTTTTTATTTAAAATTTCATTTTTAAGGGGGGAACCTGGTTTAGAGGGTCAAAAAAAAATGATTTTTTGAAACTTATCTCATTCGATTAGTAATATATTCAGAAATATTTCCACAAAACCTCAGAGTCAATTTCCTAATCGTTCCGCAGAAATGGCCGCTGAGAGACAATACGCTCAGGAGATTGATAAGCGGGCGCGAGAGCTTTGAACGAAAACATAGAAGAGCAACTCCTAAGGTACAAAAAAAGTATTCGTTTTTATGTTTCGGATGAAAACTACGATCGCTATCGTGTTCACAAAATAGACTCTTCGAGCGAGAAGTGCCACAAACAAATATGAATTGTTATTGTTTAAGAGTATCAAATAAAGTGAAAGCAAGATTTGTGTATCTATGACCCATTTCAAAAACATTTCATACTTAAGGCAACCTAAAATACTGTGCCGAATATCATGCAATTTTCAGCGTTCTAAACCAGGTACCCCGCTTAATATAGAATTTTTACGTATCAATTTATTTTTTGGCTGAAAATTCTTTTATTTCTTTAAATTTAAAATTTTTCATTATTTTATTTCTTTTTGAATTAGGATTTTAAATTTTTTTAGTTTAAAATGTTTGGTAATTTTTATGATTTATTTATTTTTATATTTTTTTCATTTTAGAATTTTTTATATTTTTTAATTTTATAATGTTTTTATTTCTTTTTATCATAATTCAGAGTTTTTTATTACTTTTTAATTTAGAATTATTTATTTTATTAATTTATTAAATGTTTTATAATGTTTTTATTTCTTTTTATCATAATTCAGAGTTTTTTATTACTTTTTAATTTAGAATTATTTATTTTATTAATTTCAAATATATTTATTTTATTTTTT